CCATATGCTAGGGAAAGCCTTTATTATCGACGATGAAGAGAGCGAGAGAGAGAGACCAATAGACCATAAAATGAATGCTGATATTAATCAAATAATCCAACCAAAAACAAAATCATGCATGTACGTTTATTAGATTTAGTGGAATTTTATTGATAGGAATGTTTAAATTGGTTAATTGATTTAATGGTTTACCTAAATGTTTCGTTTGATCAAAAATTAATTTGTTAAAAAAGTTCACTTGTCAAATTTTGTGTTAAAAAATTATTTTGTGTAATATTCAATAATTTTCACGAAAACTTGTTAATTAGAAAGAATAAAATATTTTTAAAGATTGATTTTTGTACTAATTCTTGTGTCAAAATAATTTCACAGCTCATGAATTATGGCTTCAGCCCGCAACGGAAACATGAAGAGCAGGATTTGTTTATCTTAAACAATAAACTACTCACAAAACCCAACAAGGAAAAGCCGATTTTAAATCCAAATCACCATTTTTCAATTAATCGAGTTAAATTGATCAATATATTTTCTTTTATTTTGTTAACCGAATAAAAACTAGATTTATTAAATTTGCATGTAAATTAACGGAAGAATTCTCCATCAGGGAAGTGTTATTAATTTGAGCCAGAAACTTTTCAAATGAGATTTTAAATAAATTTACTTACGTTACAAAAAAAATAATAATAGATAAATTTTAAATATTAATTTCAAAAAATTTATAATTTGTGAGAAAAATTTGGATACAGAAAACGTTTGTTTTGTTTAAATCGTTTTTAAAAATTGAATAAAAAAATTTAATAGACCTGTTTTTTTCTCAAACCTCGTTTTTTACATTGACGCAACATTTGCATATATATTTTGTAAAATAAAAATTTTCTTATAAAATTGAGCGCAGATTTCCTACTTGCAATAAAATCTATAGTGTCACGATTAAATTATTTGTTGATATGATAAAAGCAATCTGTTAAATCTCAGTCAGACCGAAAATGAAAAGGATTCTTTGAAAAGCGGCTGCGGATTGTGAGACGAATGCATGTTCAGTCGTTGTTTGTGTGCGTCGGGCCGATAATAGCCGCGTTTGCTAATCCCACGTTGCACTGTATCATTGGCGTGTGATTTGAAAAGCTTTTGATAATCTCGCGGGGGGTCCGAAAGGCAGCGCGACGCCGAACAAAGTGAAAAAATGGTACACGAATAAGAAGCTGCGCTGTCAAACAACACAACTCAATATTTGTAACACGCAGGCTTTTTATTATTGTCTGCGGGAGAATCGCAGCAGCCAGCAGCAGTAAAGTAGCAATCTTTTATTTGCCATCATCTTCAAACGCTTGCGTGACATGCTGTGAGAAGATGAATGTTTGAACTCTGATCCTTATCAAAAATGCTTCCACCATGGATCATTGAGAAATCTTATTTTATACGCAATCTTTCATTCCGATAAATTTTTATGAGGGTCCGTAAAGCTTTATACAAAGTTTCTAACTCATGTATTTATTTACTTATGAAGATACTTATACTTTCATTATTACTTCCATGTTCTAAAAATTAATATTATTATGTGATTATGTATTGTTCTATGATTCTCGCGGTCAATACAAAAATTTAAAAATGACGAGTTTAAAGGGAAGAAAGAGTTTAATCAGATGTCTGCTTAAACTTCAAATGTAAAATAAACAACAAATCTTAAATAATCGCCATCAGAAAAATCATTTAGCTTTTGTTGCTATAGTTCTTTTTTTTCTCAAATATCATATTTGTAAACAAAATTTATCAAATGCCTAACACAAAATCAAATTTATCCATTATAAATTATTTTTATTTTTATATCCTTTTATTTGCACTCCAGCATATTCAATTCATTAAAATGCACTACACTTTACATAATTCATTTTGCAAGAAAAAATTAAGCCTATTTAAAATAATCCCACAGTCAGAGATTATTAAAGCATAAAGTAATTTTTTTCTGATCTCGCGCTTATCAAAAGCTTTTGTTTCTACAAAATCTATGACGCATTTTATCAAATTTTTATAATCCATTTTAAATTCCTAACACAATAATGTACAAAATGTCTCGATAGCAGATACAAATTCTTCTTTTAATTTAAAAAAATTATGTTTTCACGTTTTCAATATCCCAATCTATAGAGATCAAGTAGAGCTTGACGGCTTCAGATTTTAATTCACAAATATCCCCTTTCACGTTATACACCAGAAAGTTAACCCTTATCCACCAACTCCATAGCTATAATATAGAGCGCCGAGTTTCCGGCAAACTTTGTTAATAAATAGGTTGATCACCCTTATGTAATTAAAGTAATTATAGGAAATCTTACAAGCAGCCGCTGAAGATGAGTGTTGGAAAATCATAATCACGAGCAAGCAGGCTAGAAACTGCTCAAGAGCAGCAAGATAAATGTATCAAGTTTCGCAAGCAACAAGGCGGTGGAGTAAAAAGAAGGAAAACTTGCAACTCCTCGTCGACTTGAGTAATTAAAATTATTTTATTAAATTTTGTGTCGCGGCAGTTGGATAAGGAAAAGAGGCCTTACACGTTGCTGCCGGTTGGAGTTTTATTGTTACATTCCAAAGAATAAGAAAATTACTTTTTTGCCCTTGCTGCGTCTTTTATACACTAAACTTTTGAAGAAGAAGAAGAAGAAGAAGAAGAAAGAAACACGCGAGATTTATAAAAACGTTTCCATAATGTCTGTTATAGTAAAAAGCATGAATAATAATTAAGTTTGGAAATCTTCTAATTGTCTATACTTTGTATTAAGAGGAAAGCGTAAATACTAAAAAAAATTATATCATAAATAGCTAATAAACGTAACCTTTTTTAGGGCAAAATTTCAGTTTTTTTTTTTAATTATAAATAAATCAAAACTTATTACATACATTTTAAAATCAGGCTTGATGAATATTTTTAGCCAATCAGCATAGAAAACCCAGCTGGAAAATAAACTTATTAAAAAATCAGTAATATTAGAGATTTTCTTATCATAAACAATTTTCTTTTGTCCCTTATGGCACATTATATCATCTCATCATGTGATTTGTATAATATTTAGGATGTGTGTTTGAAGTTATAATGAGAAAAGGTTCTACAAATATATGTAAAAAAAAACATGTTTACATATTATTATTCTCAATCTAACGCACACATTGACATAGCTATTCTCTTAAATTTTTCAATATTCTTCTGCAGAGTTGCGATTTCATTAGCAAGATATTGCATATTTACATGTAAATGCATGATTATTTCAAATGTGAATATTAAATTAGAGAGGTTTCTAATTATAAGTCTATGCCTATTATTGCTGTTAAGTAAGATTATTATTCCGAAAGGACCGAGATGACGATCGGCGTCCTGCCGGTGGTGCTTTGCTCGCGATTCGGCCGCGAAGCAGTTTGAAATCAGGAAATAGTTTTGCAGGCTGGTTTTGCTTGCAAGTAAGCTCGGCTTACAGGCGGCCAAAAGGCACAGCCATACTTGAGTCAATTAAATAATTATCCTTAATTTATACAAAAAAATGGCAAGATAGAGAATCTTAAAATTCATAAATTCACGCAATGCAATGAGAAGCGGAAAATCTTTTGCCGAAAACAGAAAATCTTCGCAAGCTGGAAACTCTCTAATTTGATTTTCCAGGCCACTGACCTCGCCTGTCTCAAAACCTCCAAGCGAACAAAAAGATCCAAAAAAAAAACCGACGCACAAGCGGCATTACTTCCATCCGACTAATTTCCATCACACAACGCTTTCTTCCTTTAGTTTGTAGACACAAATGATAACGCCGCGCAGCCATTTGTAATTAATTCGGGGGGCATCCCATGACAAAAAACCCCGCGTGCTGCAATCCAAAAACCCGCCCATGCCTTTTGCCGTGAATAGGGCGAATGTTTTTCCTGCTCAAATCGCGGAGCGAGACGAGTCCTGCCTGCTTTTTGTATTCGAACGAGTGCCGTGCATATATCGGTGACAGGCCCGCCGAGATTATCCGCGTAGGCAATATTATGTGGATCATGGGATAAGCGCACTATAATAGCTCAATCGCTCCGATTTGGAGCAGCTGCCTTGATTTCTTTCATAATATATGGTCGACAACGGTTGCTGATGAATTTGGCGCGGATTAAAGCCGAGAGACGCGCGCTTATCCGGCGGCAGGAAATATACAAAATGTTGCACGACAAAACGCTGCCGAGGTCGAACGACGCCCCACGTTGGTTTTCGTATTCATTATGGATGCTCGAGCGGGGAATGAATTTTATTTTTGTAATCTCTAATGCTTGTGAGACTGTCCGCTGCAGACCCCGCATATTGTCATGCAAGTTGCTTTATTACATGCTTAGATTGTAAACGATCTGCGTGTCAAAGAACTCAAAAAGGGGCCACCCAGGTAATTTAAATAATTTAATCGATTTCATAAATTTAAATTTAAATAAATTATTTAAGGTATGAGAAAATGCAAAAAATGCAAAAATTGATTTTGAGGATTTTCATACATTTTATAAGATATTTATTAAAAATTTTATAACTTGATTTTAATTTAAATTAATTTATAATTTAAATATAATTAATTTCTCTTAAATGCTTTTTATCTTGTGATTTCATGATTTGCCTTTGTAATAACAAGCATTAACTTTTGTTTTTTTAGTTCATTACCTGGTGTTATAAAAAACAATAATATAATTTTCTTCGGCTAAAGTTGCAAGACTGCGTTTTAATTATTGGAAGGCACAGATAAGGTCATTTCTAATTTAAAAAATCCAATAAGCGCGATTTAACTAATTGTAAGTACTTTTTTTATTTTTTATTAATTATCTGAATATTCCAGTAAAAATTTGATTATAAAAATGATATTAAGATCAAACTTTTATTATACTTAAAGTGACTTGAAGCAGATAAATAATTATAGAAGCGCCATGATTGTTTTTACATAATACACAACATGCTTAAATTTTTCTACATAATTTCCATTTTTAACAGGATTTACTCTTCTGCGCTAAAAGTTTGTTCGTGACTGTGAAAATTAGGATTATGTCGCGGCAGGTGATCTGGTTTTGGAATAATTTAGGTTGAAACACCTCTTTACAAGTTGGCGAGCGGTTCCGTTATTTGCTCACAAAACCCACGCAGGACTCATGGGAGTCGATCATTTTGCCTCCGCAGAAGAACAGAATCGGTACGAAAAATGTGGCTGTGCAGAATTTTTGCTTTTTGCTCGATTGCGCTGATAATAAGCTTGGCGAACTGCGCCAGTTTTCCAGCGCCAGGAAATACAACTGCCGATATATTTGAAGATGAATTGGAAACGACGACAGAGCTTATGGGTAATTTATGTGAAATTTCGGATTTATAATCTAATTGCAAAAAAAAAATTATCAGCTAGCAATACTACTGGTACTCACCTCAATGATGACCTCAGAGCGCCGCCGTTTGGTCGTCCAGGAGCTGTAAATGGAAAGCCATGGTGGCTAGGGTTAGAATTTTTTACGTTAATTATTCATTAAATTTTAAATATTATTATTTCTGTTGATTTGTCCAAATTATTAAATCCCATTGTTTACATTCAATTGTTGAAAACTATTTATTAAATTTTTTGAGAAACCAACGTAATTCCATCACGTAAAAGACGTTTAGTGAAAGTTACTAATTTAATTGATTTAAATCTAGCTATTTTATTATATTTTATTTTAACTAACAATTTTATTAAGATGGTTAAAATATTTATTGAACAATTCAAAAGGTAAATAATTATGTAATTTCAATATTTAAGTAATTTTTAGTTTAGTGTTATTGTCATGTAAATGTATTTAAGTTAACTTTGTATAAAATTTATTTATAAAATTATGAGTTTTTAATATTTTCGACACGATTCTGTGAAATATTATTATTTTAAATTTAAAAAAATCATTCTAGGCGAAATGTGTGCACAGAGGTGGACAACAGCAAAAAAGCAGCCATCTCAAGCACCTCCTCAGCGTCGACTTTTGTTGTTTTTGGCAACGGAGAAAACCAAGTCAGTACTCAGGAAGCTAAAAATTGCGTTTTGACGCCAGAATTGTACTTTTGCACAATTACGTAAGCGCTCAGTCTTTCTCAAAATTTGAACTTTTTAACGCCCTTTAATATGCTTTCAGACGCGCAATTGGTAATCAAACAATCACGGAAACAACCAAATACCAGTGCTGCAGTGGATACAAAAACTCGCAAATTCCTTGGCACAATGGAAGATGCATTAAAAGTTAAACAAAGTTTAAAGAAAATTGACAGCTTTGTTGATTATTCAAAAACAAAAGAATATATTTTGCACTAATTTCTCTTATTTTGAGGAGCGGCAACAAATTATCACAAAAGTAAATTAAATTATCGCCTTTTAAAGGAAGAAAATTAAATAAATAGTAATCAAACACAAATTAATTGTTAAATTATGCGTTCCATGGACGCCATGGAAATTAAAAATACATTTAGTAAAATTTAAAAAAAGCTTTTTTGCGTCTAAATCTCTATTTCATGTCGTTTTAATAAAAAAGGTGTATATGCAACTCTCATTTTGCATAATGCAATATTATTATTTATTATAATGTATCATTTTAAATATAATTCCAGCGGCTCCTCCTATATTCTTTCAAACTGTAGAATAATGTAATTGCTACAGTTATGGTTTTAATAAAAATGCGTTAATGACGCAGGTACTCTAAAAGAGTGATAAACGTTCAATGCACACACGCCTTTCCTTCTATAAATTGTAAAGTACAATCTTGCAAAATAAAAATAATTATGAGGATTTCATAACTGAACATAAAAAATTATTGCTCACAAAAAAAAACAGGACGTTTCTGCGTGAGCTGTTTTTATGAATTTAATTATTAAAGCACTTTCCTCCTTGACAAACATTGACTGACGATAAAGAAATTTCCCGGAAATTTCATCATTTATTCCTCTTGCTGCTAGAAAAAAATATCATAAAATGGAAAATCACCTAAATTCGGGCTTCGGGCAATGCACATTATCTAAGTTAAATTTTTCCTTCTTACACAGTACTGCGGTCCTCAAGAAACATGTATTCAATATTTTCATCATTGACATTGTAATTTTTGTTGTTCTATAGTTCTAAGATTAAAGATTCTGGAACATTTTTCATAAGCAGTTTCACTATAGTTTAAATTAAAATTCCATTTACAGACAATTTTAAAATAAAATGATATAATTAAAAAACATTAATTTGTCAGTTACAAAAGTGCCTTCTAGATAGAATTTTTGCAATCTTTTGATATTTTGTGCATCCCCATGATAAAACGAGCTTGGCAAAATTGGTACGTTGCAAAGAAGGCCTAAAAAAGAACTGTACTGTGCCCGGTCAGCACCATCAGCCTAATATACATCATGTTGCAGTCGCAGTCTTTTGATGGTTGGGGCTTTGGTGTAGCAAGAAAGCCAAAATTGTAACGTTAAAATTCCTGGAAGTTAAGAGATCGGACTTTTTGTCCCTGTAAAAATTTTTTTTTATTAAAAAACAAATGGTTCTACCAGTTTTAGTCACGAGATGTGCGACCCTATTTCAAATGAGAGCTGCTCGCTGACCAATACAAGAAATAGAAAGTCTGTGAATGAGAACGAACCTGGTAGAGCCGTTTTGTTCATGAATAAATAAACAATAACAACAAGGAAAGCCTGATCTCTTCACTTCCATGCACGATCATCTCCTCGAGGGTTAATTTCTTCAAACAAATCCTTATCCTTATGCATTAGGTAAAATGTATCGCAATAAAATTCAAATTTACCTGCAGATGGCTGTGGTGGTTTTTCTGATTTGTCGAAATGTCTCAAGCACATCGTCAGTACGGTAAGCACAACACAAACACACGCAATTTCGATTATGCAAAAACACGCAGCACTAAATTCACAGAGGAAAAAGTTGTTTGTTTACACACTTTAAACTTTTCTAAAAATCCGCAGATCACCATCACCACCCTTCTGCGTGACCCTCCTCCGCACTCATATTATTATCCCTTCCACCTCCCCCTCGACCCCCTCGTCAGCAGCTGTAGAAAAATTTTGTTTTTGTTTATTTCTCAGAGACTCAGAGTCATTTCAGAATTTTTACGCAACACGCAACATATAATTCTGATCTGAACGTAATTTACGTACGTAGGTAATTTTCTTCTCATGACGACGAGTTAACCGGTGAGTTTTACAATTGAGAGGAAAAAAGGAAGAAATTTAATTGACACACTTTTTTGTGAGCAAAAGCAAGGATTATTTTCTTTACTTTTTCTGTGCTCCATAACCCTTTATTTTTTTTTTGTTAATGATTTTTCTTAAATTTTTATAGGAGCTAGCATAGTTTGTTCCCAATTTGTGGAAAACCAAACATAACGATGGGATCTAATCTGACATCTTTGCTGGCTGAAGATTCTGCAACAGGAGGCAAAAATGAGGAGAGTGCTGATGACCATCATGAAAATAATGGTCCAATAATTGGCACTTCCTCGAATGCAGATCATCAGCAGACGACAGGTATGCAAATTTAATCTATTTGATTTTCGTCTTAGTCGATTCTCTCATTAGAAAATGGCAAGAGTTTTGAAAATACTTGTGGATTGCCTTTGGAAATCTATGGAGAAGCTTTTGATGCAGAATTTACTGGTGTGGTTCGGCATGTGCAGTCGTACAATTGCATTTTTGTGGCTACAGATGCGCAGGTCTCTGTTGTTGAAAGGTGTTTGTGTATAAACTAATCGATTGAATATTTATTTAATCTTTACTATTTTTCCAGACTCAGTCATTGCTTTCAATCTCTTTTTGAAGCAAATCAAAAAGCTCAAAACAAACACCATATCAGCTATGGAGATGTTGTGATTTTGAAAGGGAAGAAAGGAGATTTTCTGAGGGCAGATGTAACTGAAATAATAGAAGTACGTAATTTTGAATTGTGTACTATTGTATATTTTAATTTTCTTGAAAAGGAATATGGAACCTCCAGTGGTGGAATCTTACAAGTTACGCTGATTGATTTTGGTGAGGTGATTCTGGTTGAGGCCCAGGATTGTGTGAAGATTTCTGAGGCGCAGTACCAGTTGAAGGCTCCTCAAGTTCAGAAAGTCGGCTTGAAAGTACATTTTAAAAACCTTTACAAAAGATAATATTAATTAATTTAAAATTATTGTGTAGATCGTCTACGATGTCAAAGCTTTGGAGCAGTTGAAACATAAAATCAACACAAAACTCTTTGAAATTCTGAAAAGGGGAGACAAAGTCCGAGTGTGTTTCTGCATCAATGATTCCTCGTAAATTTTCGAATGTTTTCAAATTATTTTTACCAGAATTAATATATTTTTTTAAGAGAAATGTTGCCTAAAGCCATTATTACTAAAATGGAGACATCTGAAGAAGAAGAGGACACAGTCAACAACCAGGTGTCTCAGGTCTTAGCAACGTCAAAGTCCAATGCCTTGGCAAAACTGAAAAACAACTCGCTCGCTGCAATTTCCGCCTCTTTAGAATTGGACTGTCCCAGCAAAGCAATCACTGGCTACGAACCCAAAGATGAAACAAGAGCCTGCAGAATTTATCAAATCCAGGGCTTCTGTAACAGGGCCAACTGTCGCAAAGAACATTTCATGCTGCATCCAGGTATAAAACAAAATTTAATTGATTGACCTCGATTTATTGTTTAATTTCCTTTTTTTTAAGATGGATGGACTCATGACCAAGAGCTGATTTTCACCAAACCTTTCAGCTTCCTTGACCTTGATATTTCTGCTGGATCATATCTCCTGATTTCTGTTACCAACACAACCTTTAGCAATTTCTACAGGTTCTATGGTCACATTTTGAATTTGCCTTCAGGTGATATTATGTGGTTCAAAATTTTTGGACAGGACATTGTATTGAACTGTATAAAAATTTCCAGAGCATGGTTCTCTTGATGAATTGAATCAGCAGATCTTACATTTGGCTGAAAATTCGAGCTTAGAAATTTTTGAAATCCTGCCTGCTTTGGGACAGATGGTCATTGCTAGGGATGACAAGGAGAACATTTTCAGGGCAACTGTTGTTGACTTCAATTATTATTGCGATAAAAGCAGAATTTTGGTAAGAAAAAAAAAATTATTTTCACCAATTTAAAAAGAAAATATTTATATAGGTCTTTTCCGTGGATTATGGATTTGAGAAGGAAGTTGATCTTCACAATGTGTGGAAAATGCATCCCTCCCTTCTCCACGTACCATTTCAGGTATTATTATTATAAATTAGACAAATAAATTTGTCTATTAATAATTGATAAAAATTGCTTAGGCAACCTTTTTGAGTTATCGTTTTAATTATTCTTTAATCATTTTGTAATTTTCAAAAAAAAAGCGAGGTTATAGTGAATTTAAAATTTAGGTTGTGGAATTCTTCTGTGAGGACCTCAACCCATCTGACATTCAAGTCGGCTCTAAAATTGAGGCTACATGTGTCAGGTAGGAAATGTGTATTTTATTTATTTTTCTTTTTTATCACCGAAAATCAATTTCCCTTTAGAGTTGATTCTGAACTGAACGTGGAGATTGAGCTGCAGAAAATTCTTTAATCTTATGAGCCTCTCATTTTATTCAACCCGTCAATTCAACTGTGAAATTCGTGGCAAAGCTGTGTCATCCAGATGGATAATATTTTCTCACACCTTTTCTTTTATTAAACAGAACTTGCTATGTGTGAAAGGGTTTCAATGTGTTATGTAGCCATTGTGCATCGATCCTATCTCTTTGGCCTGTATTTGTCGAAAGGGGTGCGTAATATTCCGGCGCAGCTTGCCTTTTGGTGCAGGATTGGCCGCGGCAGATGATTCGAGTTTATTTTTCCTAGTTTCATTAAAGCCGAAGTCAAAGGATTGAGAGTGTACACGGAAATAACAAAAAATAAATATAACAATGAACTGAAATATTTGCTGCATGCCTAGTCAATTTTTGCGTCCAATCGTGATAAGCTGGGTGGTTACTCTTGAAACGAACCGGCCATCTAATTGGCTTATGTGATTATGCCAAGCGCTGGAGTTGACAAGCGTGAAATGAGCATGTGGGGCAGGCCATCAGCATCAAACGGGTGCCAGTGGCAGTGCATGTTGCTCTTTTGAAAAACGCCGCTCGCTCTTATTAATTTTCTAGTCATATTAGTTTGCTAAGTTTAATATTTATTTAATTAATATTTTGCGACATTGAAATTTTCAAACATAATATTTTTTTCCAAATTTTTTATTCTCTTATGATTTAAAATATCGAAAACTTCTCTAGATTTTTTAATATTTAATTAGCCACATACAGAGCATGGAGCTCACTCGCGCTAATTTATTAGCTTTTCTTTGTCAGAATCGCGCTCACAGAAAAGATAAGTTTCCCTCGAGGCAGCTGAATTGTCACAAAGCAAGAGATTAATGCCCTAACCAGAGCAAATCTCTATCCGGCTTACGAATTAATTTTCTAAAAACTTTCCTACTGCTCTCCTGTCTTGTAGCAGGATCAAATCCTGTTTCTTGTTAATAATCTTGGATTTATGTTTTGCTCGTTCCTACTTCCAAAGCCCACGTAATCCTCCATTACAGAAAATGAAACTTTTCTTAAGAAAAAAAACCCAAAAGAACACTTCACAGCACATTAAATATTTATTTATTATATAAAAATCACACAATCACAGCGCAATGCAAAAACAAAAAGTTCACACAATTGTACTTAGTGTTGAAAATGATATTTTAACGCGTCAAGTAAATTTTTGGAAGGGACGTGGTCAGGGTAAGCAATCAGTGCTTTTTTAACCATCACATAGCCAGAGTGGAGTTGACCAGCCTGCAAATTGATTATTTACTTTTACCCCTAAATTGTACCAAATAACTTACCTCGAATGCTAGTTTTGCGTAGTTGTAATGAGGTTCAAAGAGGACGTGCGCCAGCCCCGCCGAGGCTTGGAAAAGAGACTGGGCCACGTTCGTGCGGCCCTGCCGTGCTTCCATCACACCCAGATTATTGTAGGCAGGGGCATGCGTTGGGTCTGCCATCAAAGCAAGGCGTAGACTTTGAGTTGCTAAATTTATGTCTCCGACGCCCTGAAAAAAATTATTTAAAATCCAGTTTTTTTTTTAATATTTCATATTAATTTACTATTGCCACGTGAGCTATGTTGTACCAAATGTCTGCCTCAGCCTCTTTATTGTCAACCAAATTGAGCGCCCTTTCAAAGCAGGTTATTGTCATGTCGTATTGTTGCGAGTAGAAGCAGCACAACCCCAAGTTGTTGAAAAGCTCTGCCGTGTAAATGCCTGTTTGGAGCAACCGTCTATTTTTTTAAATTTAATTTTAAATTTGCCAATTTTAAATTTGATTAAATCTACCTATAAAACTGGAGTGCAACTTCAGGTTGGTCAGAATAGAAATGGTGCATGCCAATGCACGCTATCGCTTCTATGTTGGTCGCGTCTTCTTTCAGCACTCCACGATACAAATTCACAGATTTGCACAAATCGCCCAGACCTTCGTAAAGCCTGTTAATCGTACATTTAAAATGTCTATGAAGGAAAAAGTTACTAATTTACCTTGCGATTTCAACTCTCATTGCGGTTTCTTTTGGGAAATACTCCATGCCAGACTGGCATACCTGAATTGCGGCCAAGGGCTGGTCCATTCTGGTATAAACCCTTGCCAACATTAAAAGTCCAATTATGCTTGGGGTGTCTCTCAGCGATGACCGAAGTTGTTGTTCAGCGTCTCTGACAAGACCAATTCGCAAGTAGCAGCGACCCAGTTGCAATTTCCACCACCAGTCTTTGAAATTCGACTTTTGAGTGCCTTGAACTGCAAATTCGAGCGCCTATAAAATAACAATTTTAAAAACTCTAAAACGCAATCAAAAAATTATATACTCGTTGAATATCGTTTTCGCAGTAATAAATATATTCAAAAAGAGGTTTTCCAAGACTAGGCTTCGCAGCATACTTGGCAAAATTTAATTTTGACAACTGAATGAACGGCCCTCCATTTTCGGTTATAATTGAAGATGTCCCGATTCTCGACCTCATTCCGGACGCAGTTGTCAGTGGCCGAGCTGATTTAGCAGTGCGCGGAGTTTTTAGTGCTTGCTCTATTGATCCTGTTCTTGGTGCCCTCGAGTAGGGCCGGACGACACCAGTGAGTGTGCGACCATCAATTGAGGGTGGACGCATCCCCTGCGTTGGGCCGCTTCGGGTTGAAGGCGCAGTAGTTCGAAGGGAAGTTCCCGGTCGAGGCACTTGAGCGATGGTCTCATCGTCCAAGGTCGCTTCGGCTAATCCTTCTTCGAGGTTCTCCAGGTCATCCACGTACACTTGCTCTGTCAAAGCGCGCATTTTCATCACCCAAGCAGCCTTTTTTTAATGAATTAAATTCGGCATTTTTTAGTGATGCAAATAATTTTATTAAAATATTCACCTGGTCCAGCGGATTGTGCTCCAGCAACTGAGTGCAAAGATTGGCACATTCTTCATATTTATGCCTTTTGAAGTAGCTGTGCGCTAAATAAAGTTTGTCCATCTTGCAACTTGGAGAAAATCAGAGAACAGAGGCAACCAAGGGCAGACGCGTGTTGGAATGCAGAGTCTCGCTTTGGCGCCACTGGCTAACAAAATTTTGCGACCCCCACCACAAAAACCACGCCCCCTTTCAACAATGTTTTGAAACATCTGCAGCTGCTTTAGAACGATGTTAATTTGCGTTGCCAATCTAAATTTTTGATTGCAATTCCTCGATGGCCTGCCAGATTACAGAAGTGGCACAGGTGGCCGCTATTCAAAGTGTCAAAGCAAAATTGACGTTGAATGAGTTTGAAGTACGAGGTCAGTAGCGCTAACATAAAAATGATAAAAATTAAATTCGCTATATCGATGACACTTTGAATTTAGAAACCAACAAGGTCATTTTCATTTTGTTTTTTTCAGAGGAACCCAAGGATGATTTTGACCCGGACAACTGGGAGTGGGAAGAAACTACTCCAGGGACAAGCAGCTCATCTAATGCAACACCATCAGGGACTTCCAAAGAAACGTCGTTGTGGCTGCAGAAAAGCAAGGTGTCCCTTTCCCCGTCTGGAAAAATTTTGGTTCTTGCGCATGGAAAGCAACTTGTGGTTTTGAATGGTAATTAAAAAATTGTAAGTCAAAGTAAATTTTTTAAGTCTCTAAATTTTTTAGCCTTTTTGAGCACAAGGGATCAAACCCGAGAAGCTGTGACGGAGTACAATGTTACCTCCCACGGAAATGTTTGCCAGCCAGGGTAATTTTTGAAATTTTCTATTGAATACATTAGTTAATATGTTGTGTATATTAACAGTGAAGAGATTACCGCCGTTTTGTGCTTGCCACTAATATCACAATTAAATCGGTCAAGCATCGGAACCGAGTGGACATGCATCGCTGTTGGCTATTCCAGTGGTTTTGTTCGATTTTATACTGAAGTATTGAAAAAAAATACAAAAAGTATAGAATTTAATATTTAATACATTTTATATCTCTCAGGACAGAAAACTTTTAACTGAGCAAGAGTTTGAGAAAGAGCCTGTGATTCATCTGAAGTGCCAGTCGTTCAAACGAGCAGCCCACTCGGAAGCTCAGGAACAACCTGAGGAGCTCTACGTCATGTATCCCAGCTCCATTGTGACTCTACCTGGCTTTAGCTTATTTCAAACGCTGAGAGGCTGTAGAAATCAGCTCGCTAGAGGTAAATATAGAATTTTTGGCAAAAAAAAAAAATTAATTTTGGAAAATTCTTTCAGTTGAGGGAAGTGGCAGTGGTTCGGTGGAGTCGCCACCTTTGGTGCACACAAAGTGGGGCTTTGCAGAGCAGGACCAAGTAAATGACTGCCAAGTGATAGGGCTTCCTCCTGTCAACACGTACGACCATCTCCTGACTGCTTCCCTTTGCGGAGGCTTTGAGGCCGTAGCTAAGTCCAGTGCACCAGCTCACGATTTAGTAATTGCCACCGGACGAAAGCCGTATGTTGGCTACCATTTCACGGTAAAAGGAACAACGCAACCACTGATTGTTGGAGTGGCCAAAGCTGTGTCCAGCGCTCTCAATTCTACTCAAGGATTTTTGTCTCTGTAACAAAATTTTATTAAGTAATTTAGAAAGTTTTATGAAAACAAATTTGTTTTAGCAAAAGTTATTTCACTGGCTCAAAACCGGCTCAAGAAAAGAAACAAGCCCAAACCATCGAACCTGCTGAACCAATGGGCTGCAGGTATAATTGATTTAATATGTACTCTCAAAACATATAAAATGTTGGTTTATTCCTTAGATTTGGTCTTGGCGATCTTTGGCGCCAAGGAGAGGCTATCGTCATGTCTCCAAACAAAGCTTTAAGTGCAGTGTGCGATTCTCTTGGCAGGGTCATTTTACTTGATAACCGAACTGGTGTCGCCTTGAGAATGTGGAAAGGTATACAATATTTTCTTGCATCTGCTCTGTTTATATATATATATATCTCTACTGAAGGCTATAGAGAGGCCCAATGTGGCTGGTTTGAAGTTCGCGATCCCGCAGCAAAGCAAGCATCCTCGAAATCAAAGACGAGACCAAGGTCTGCACTTTTCCTAGTCATCTACGTACCTAAAAAGGGCATCATCGAGATTTGGGCCATGCAGAATGGACCAAAAGTTGCGTCCTTCAATGTGACCAAGGAGGGACGATTGATCTACACTAATTATGGCCATGTCGGGGTTAACAACGTCCCTGTAAAAGGGAGCAGCCGGAGCTTATTCCCTTGCGTTTACATGCATCCAGATGGGGTCATCAGCACCATTTCTATACCTTTCCACTTTGCCTTGAGGTTTGGTTTTTTCCTACCCGCATTTACATTTTATAAGCAAATAATTTATTTTTCTAGTGCCCAAAATAGCAAGCAAGCTAAGGACATCCACTTGCTGAAGAAACTAAGGAAGATATTGAAGGAGTGCAAGCACGAAGAAGAAGCCGATTATGTTGAAGCCGCGACTCAAGAGATTAGTAATTTAATGAAAGAACTTTCTTGCTGCGAGGCTGCTCTACAAGCAGTTGATTTACTCCTAGCCAGCAAGTACACCAGACCACAGTATGTATTGACTGCTGTCGACACAATTTTGGCACAATCTTCCGAGAATGGTATTTTAGAAAAACCTAAATTTTAAAAAGCTTGTAACATTCTATTTCATCAGATGAAGAAGAGAATGATCACAATTATAAAACCTTGAAACACAACTGCGTGCAGCTGCAGAAGTTAGTGATGTTTTTCAACTTCCTCCAAGAGCAGAACAAAAATCCACCGTCTTACGACTCGGTCATTTCCTCGGACGCAGTTACAGTGCAGGTATGACATTATTTCATTGATCAAATATTGCATATTAATAGTAAAATGAAATTCAGGCACTTTCTGTCGACCTCCTAACAAGTGAGAAAGAAATGGAGTCTTTGTTCACTCTGGTCAATGAAATTAGTGAGCAAAATTCATCTATTGGTTCCGGTGGACGAGTTACCTTTCAAGACGACGACAGCTCTATTCTTATGGAGTTTTTGTCTGCTTTTGACCTTGGAAACTTTGGCTCTGCGCACCAAAGATGCATTACCTTGAGGAAAGATAAATCCGATGACTGTGTTAAGAGAATAGCCATGACGATGTTCCAAGATTGGCTCCATGGAGATAACTCGACTGCTGAGTGGATGAACCAAGCAGAGGCGAGCGGAATTCACGCCCAGAGCTTTTTTATTTTGGCATTGCACTTCTGGCTGCAGGTGCAACACAAATCACCTCCAAACATGTCTCTCTCAATGACATTGGCTGCAGACATGCTGCAGCTCAACAGGCTTTTGAACAACATTCAAACTTTGGCTGGTAGGTTAAAATTATGACCTCTTAATTAAATTTATCTTTTTTTTTCAACCAGATCAAAGTGAAATTGTCATTGACACAAGCGAGTTGTCACCTTGGTGGGAGGAAGCCAGACGGATCTTGTTCTCTGCAACTCAGCCTTTGAAAGCGCTCACAGCCTCATATGTTTGCAGAGGGGTGAATTTGAAAATGGAGATGAAACTAGGCTCGAAAGTAAGTTTATTGCTTTAATTGAAAAACAAAAAATAATAACTTTTTTCTTCAGTCGGAAAGTAAATTTCCAACTGGTGAGGAGCCAATGGATATTAGCGGTGAAGAGGCAGGAACTGCTGATTGGGAAGAGCTCTCTATGGACACAGTGCAGTGGAATGTCTTGTTGCGCCAATTGGAGGATCTATCTGTTCTTGACTTTGTTATGCAGCAGAGAATCAAGGTCAGCGTTGACCCTTTGCCCCGCTGTTTGAAATGGAAATCAGCCTCAATCTCCTTAAACCTTGTAATGAACAAAGGAAAAGGTAAAATATTGTTTTTAATTGAATATATTCATTATTATAAATCATACTGAAGGTGCAATTTCTGAATATGTGGCTTACTGGATTGGCACGACTGGTATTCAACCTAAGATGCTTGTTGAGCTTGACAGAAAATTATTGAAAGAAGAGGCAACAGTTGACAAACTTGAGCCTGAGCAGGCGGAGGATGCTGTAGTATTTGATCCGGAAGCTCTTAAAATTTTAGGTGTGTATGGAATATTATTGATTGATGATTTTTAATATTAAAATATGTCCAGATTTACTGCAAAGACTAAGGAATCATTTCCCACTTAGTCTCCAATGCAACCAATTACTGGCCAGCCTTTTCTGGGAGTTCATCCAAGATCGAACGCAACTCATTACAAACTCAGATGTTGCGTCTGCAGCAATCACTGTTCTCCATTCCATTCCTTCCTTATCGCTTCGCCAGGGTAATTTTATTTCCTCCTAATTTTTTTCAGTTAAACAATTTTAAATTGTCTTGCAGGCATGTGCAGTTTACTCTGGACACTGTACTTAAAGCAAGACCTTGAGAAAATCTCACGCTTCTTCAACAAGAAAGTTTTGCCTAATCTAGACAATGTTGGATTTTATCCTCGTCATATTTTCGAAGATATTGGCCACTCAGATGCAAAACTCAGTTCTTATTTGGACTTCTGTGTTCGGTTTTTAGACACCTACTTTGAGGTAACTCAATAATTTTATTTGTAAATAATGCTTCTCATTGATAATAACAGGCTGCAGAAGACGAAGGCGAAACCTCAAAAAAGGCCGAGGTTTTATCAGAGTCAATATGGACAAACGCAAGTGCAAGCCCGTCTCTAAGTCAGATTGCTCTTAGCAAGCCAAAAGTGAATTTTGGACTCCTGGAACTGCATTTGCAGCTGGTCACTGTCCTGTTCATGGTTGCTTCATTCGACTTCAGAATAGCAAGTTTGATCTCGAATCTCTTTGACAGTGCGGTAAGAAATTTGAGAAAAATCATTTTTATCAATTTTTACAATAAAATTTCAGGGGCAAGCTGCTTTCTTTCTCGATCTTCACGCGAATCCTCGACTTCCAAGCCACAACCCAAGCACAAAACTGACAAATTCTAGAACACAGTTTCTGCTCCGCGTTATTTCAGCATCCATGCAGAACATACTGTTGGTCGAGACAAGTGATTTTGAGGAGGTAAATGAAATTAAGTTATTTAAAAATGCATGTCATTGATGAATGATTTGTATAGGCTGAATTGTCTGGACCAAGAGTAGATGCTTCTCAAGCTGCTCTCTGGATGGGCAAGAGCTTGATTTTGGCCAGCAGTTGGGGGATCAATACAGATATACTTCGGCGCCACCAAATTTGCGAGCTCTACATGAATGGATTTGATCGTCTTGCAGAAGAAGTAATTTTTGAATATATTTTTAAATTTTGATTTATATTTATTTACATGAATCTCTTCTAGAATGTCATGTCGGTGAATGACAAAAGCCTCCTTGCATCACAACTTCTGATGATTGTCGGCCAGAGACTACAAATTGCAGTTACACACTCTGCTGACTTGGCAGAACGGATATCGATCTTGAGCCCAGCAATATCCAACTGGTTGGAAAATGTGGTATGCTTTTCATTGTAAAAGAAAATGCCATTAACTTAATTTTTCTTTCTTGTATAATTTATATAGAACGTTGGAGGTGCATACTGTGCAAGCTCATTGGCGGACACTGCTGAGCTGGTAGGGTTAGTTGTTCAGTTGCTCCCCGAAGACCACAACGAAAGAAGACTTGCTCTCCTTGTTCATGATGCATGCAACAGTATCACAAAAACCACATCTGACATGTAACTAAACGACAGTTTACCAATTTTTAAACCCATATAAGGAGAGGTTAAGACGCTTTTTGGTGACTGAAAAGTATGAGGTCTTAAGTTATTATAGGGATATAAAAACATGATAAATATTAATAGAGCAAAATAATGTTACCTAAAATTTTAGATGTTCTTTTATATAAATTTGAATTTGTTAAAACACTAATAAGAGCGCTGGTGTTATTGTCTGCACCTACAATCATTAAAAAAAAATCTAATATTATATATACTAAATACATACTGTGAATGCATTTAGAAATGTAAGAATAAAAAACAAAATATTGAACAATTTATAAAAAGCAATTAAAATTGCGTTTGCAAATATATTTAACTTGCCAAAAAATTTGCAAATATTCCGCATGAAAACTTTAAATCAGTGTAAAATTAATTTGATAAAATTATCGAAAAATGGAAAATAACTTTAAAAATTTTCAAATAGGAAAAATTTATAAGGAATATAATATTAAAAATACGCCGCCCTGCGGAGTAAAGTGGAATTAATTGAATAAATCACAAAGTGGGCGTAACCCGTAAAAGGTAAAAGGTAAAAAAAAAAGTAAAATTTGCCGAGCTGAGCATCAACGCACGCCGCGTGGGGTATTTTTCAACAATTTTGTGCAAATTTTATTATCTTAACTTAAAATCGCAAAATCAAATGTGGTTCCATTCAATAAGAGCGTGATTTGGAAACGAATTTCTCAATTATGGCGGAAATCCCGTCGGAAAATCCAGTGGCGCCGCCGACCACTGAGGCTCCCGCTGCCCCAGCATCGCCACTGCCGCCTGCTCTTGCGCCGCTTGCCCCTGCCCCTGCTCAACCTGCTGCTGCCGTTGTCACGACCAATGCACCGGCCCCTTCGTCACCAGCCACGACGACCGCAGTGGCTGTTCCGGCCACGAGTGCCGTTGTTCCCGTCGTTCCGATGCCAGTAGCCGTCGTCCCGACGCCGCCTCCTGTTCCAGCGGCTCCATCCATCGTCACCACCGTGCAGACCCCGATTGCCGTAATGCAGCCTACTCCGATCGTTCCGCAGACTGTCGTACCTCAGACAGTCGTGACCAACGTTGTCCAGCAGCGGACCATAATGTCCAACATTGTCCAGCAACAACCTGCGATCTCCAATGTAGTCAAACAACAACCTGTGATGGCCAATGTTGTCCAACAACAACCTCAACAGCAGCTCGCCAAAGCTGATACAAAAACTCCAGCAGACAAAAATGCTCTGCTTGCAGTTCTTCAACTGCTCAGAAAATACAATTTAAAAGTAATTTTATTCTGCAAGTCTAAATTTGATTATAAAATATCTTTTTTTAAGGGAACTGAGGAGATTTTGAAAAAGGAGGCCAATTTTTCTGACCTAGCATCTCTAGAGGCTGCTGCCATTCATTCCGAGTCGGAGGTCAGCAGCGTTTTGTCTGCCTACAAGAGTGAAGGAGACCCAGAAGCCTACGAAGGCGCTTACACTGATCTCAAGAACTTTGTCGAAAGTGCTCTGGATATTTATAAAGTAAATTAGATTTAATAATTTATTTCCAATTCCTCACAATTTGCTTTTAGCATGAGCTCGGCACTATTTTGTATCCAGTGTTTGTGCACATGTACTTGGAGTTGGTCTGCAATGGCCACGAGAGAATCGCCATCAAATTTATGCAGAGATTTGCTCCGGACCAAGAGGACTACTACCAGGATGATTTGAAAAAATTGGCACAAGTCACAAAGAGGGATCACCTCAAGGATAATGAACTCACCGAAACTTTTAAGTAATTTATTTTGTTTTGACAATAATTTGGATTTTGAAAATAATTGGCGCATTGCAGCTCGAACGAGTTTATTATAAGAATGTCGAGAGACACTTTATCGATTTTGAAACGGCATTTGAAGGAAAAGAAAAAGTCTGTTGTTCCAAACATTGTCCAGGAGCATCTTTATTTTGATATGTACGAAGGAGTTGCCCGAAATAAGCAGCAAATTGATGCCACTGCCGGAGCAATGGTTGGGGAAGCCACTCGACAAGGTACGCAATTTTCCCCTTGTTTAATTTCTCATTTGAAAGTTCAATGATTTGACTTTATGTCTCGTTCGTATGAATTTGAATTTGATTAAAAGTATTTCTTATGAGTTTATGCAAAAAGAAACATTATCGTTAGTTTGAAATTTTTCTTTCTTAAATTAAAACTCATTTTAGATAACAAGGCTCGAGTTTATTACGGCCTGTTGAAGGAACCAGACCTTCAATTTGTACAGCAGGAGGAGGAAGAAGAACCAGACACAGGAGAAGGTGACAAGCCAAAGAAAAAGAAGCCGAAGAAGGACCCTATTTTCAGCAAGAAATCAAAGACTGACCCTAACGCGCCTGCCTTGGACAGAATGCCCTTGCCTGAGTTGAAGGACTTTGACAAGCAGGAGAAAGTCCGCGCGCTCAGGGAAGCCTCAAAACGTGTCAACCTGGGCTTGGACACTCTTCCCTCAATCTGCTGCTACACACTTCTCAACTCCTCTCACTCGTAATAATCGATTATTCTGATTCATAAAAAAATTTTAAAACTTTTTGCAGGGTAACAAGTGCTGAGATAGCAGAGGACAGCAGCATGTTGGCCGTCGGCTTCAGCAACTCAACGATCAAAGTTTGGAGTATCGTTCCGCAAAAACTTCGAGCAATGAAAAGTGCCGAGATGCTTTCGGACATCGACAAAGATGCTGAAGACGTTTTGGTTCGAATGATGGATGAGCGGTCGGCCGAGACGTCCAAAATGCTTTTCGGCCACCACGGGCCAATCTACGGCTTGTCTTTCAGCCCTGACAGAAATCTTTTACTTTCCTGCAGTGAAGACACAACAAGTACTACTTAAATATTTTTAAACCAGAGTTTACAAAATAAAATTTCAGTTCGGCTGTGGAGTTTGCAAGTGTGGACATGTCTTGTTGTCTACAAGGGCCATGGATTTCCAGTGTGGAGTGTGAAATTTTCACCTCACGGTTTCTACTTTGCCACAGCCTCTCACGACAAAACAGCCCGCCTCTGGTGCACGGATAATCCTCAGCCATTGCGAATGTTTGCTGGGCACTTTTCCGATGTTGATGTGAGTAAAATCTTAATGAATTTCTACTTTGTAATTCAGCAATGATTAGACATGTCTCGTTCGTATGACTTTCCTTCTCTTTTGAAGGAGGGGCAAGATTAAAGCCAGACAGATGAGCAAATTTAAAATCGAGTTTTTTATTATTTTTTTCAACTTGAAATATTGAATAAAAAAATTCTTTTTTTCTTAACAGGTTGTGCAGTTCCATCCCAACTCGAACTACATTGCTACTGGTTCGAGTGACAGGTCGGTCCGTTTGTGGGACTGCGTCACTGGAAACCATGTCAGACTGATGACCGGCCACAAAGCTCCAATCTACACCCTGTGTTTCTCAGTGGAAGGCCGATTTTTGGCCTCGGCAGGCGCCGACAAGAATGTTTTGCTCTGGGATTTGGCGCACGGTCACCTCTTGGCTGAACTTTCCGGCCACACGGCACCCATCCATACATTGGCCTTCTCAAGATGCGGCAACATTCTCACCTCAGGTATAATTGATTTAAAATCTGCATTAGCTTGCAATGATTTGCTGTGATTATTCATTGTCTCGTTCGTATGATTTCAATGATTCAAGCTTTTTCGGATTTTATGAGCTTTTAAATTAGATCAAATAGCGACAAAATTATCAACTTTAATTAAGTAATTAATAAATTTAATTAAATTCCAGGCTCTCTTGATTGCACAGTCAAACTGTGGGACTTCCAGAAACTGGCAAAGGAAATCGCGCTTGAGGATGTCAATGTGACGCACAATCCTGACATCAAGCGGGGCGACAATCAAGGTGGCTACATGCTTCGAAGCTACGGCACCAAAAGCACGCCTCTGCTCAATCTGCACTACACCAGAAGAAACGTTCTGCTTGCAGTCGGTGTGTTCGAGTCAAACAGTTAAAGGTAGAAAGAGACGCCAGAGTATATGTTTGTGAAAGTCCTCTTGTTGAAAGAAAAATTTCAGCATGGTGCATTTTTAATGTGTAAAGTCAAAGTTAAAAGTATGTGAAACATCCAATTTTAATAAACAGAAATGGAAAAAAAGGTGAACAATTCTTATTGCATGCTTCAATCAATCTTCTCTGGTGATGGTTTTTGATTTTTAATTGTAGAAAACATAGATTTCAAATGACTATATCCAACTTTTATTTTATAAAATTTACAATAAGTTTGTGTACAAAAGTTAATCCCCTGCGAGGAAATCCACGTCTGCGCGGACGCACTTTCCAGTTGCTGTGTCGATCGCAGAGACGACCAATTCGTTGCCGGAAAAGAACATGTGCGCGTTCACTTCTCGTCTTGCACTGGCAACTCTTGGCTCTGACGAGTTGCCATGGGGTTCCATGGGGTCGATTCGGCCCATGCCAAGTTGATGAGGGTCTGCGTAAATGTTTTCATTCTCATCCTCCAAGCTGAGAGTTAGGGTCCCACATCGAGTGACGCCTTCGTCGGTCACGTACTAAACAATAAAAAAAAATTGGGAAAATTATTTTGATTGTAATGCTAAAATTATTATAAAAATATAAACCTTATCAAAATTACAAAATGAATTATTATAATTTTTTCAGCGTATAATTAATTTTCTACCAAATTTTTCAAAAAATTCTCACCTGTGGTTTCCCAGGTGTAGGCTGCGTACTTGCACAATAAATATTTAAAACGGCCGCTCTTTGCCCTGAACTCGCGGCTACGTATCGTCGCGTCTCAGCGTGTCCGGGACTCAAACTCTGTCCCGCGGTGACAAAACAGTCCAGCACGTCTGCACACCACCGCTGCCCGTCCTTCGATATGACCAATTTGCCTGATGACGCGGAAAATTAATACAATAAAAGAAAGAGAGAAACTATTGCGGTTGTCCCTACTTGCTGGATGAAGTCCTGGCATAAATTTCTTCAGAACCCCCACCCCGTACGAGTGCTTCGCTCGTCTCGCGCTGATCACGTTTGTGTCGAGCCCGTACAGAACGGCGCCTCGTAATGTTGCCAGGGAGGAGGGCTAAAGATAAATTTATAAAAAAATTTATTTGTTAAATTAATTAAAATTTCATACCTGTGGAGAAATAACTTGAATTTGAGAGCCAAACTCGTCCTTTATAGCCTTTTGCAAAACCTCGGAATCTGAAAACCCTCCAACGAGAAACAGGAACTGGGCCGGCGCATCACTCAAAATCGGATCTTCCAGCACGTCTTTTATATACTAAATGGAAAATTAAACTTACGTAAAAAATTGAATTATTATATCCTCACTTCAACAATTTTTTGCACTGTGGTCTTGAACAATTGCAGCATCACGCTGCTCTGAAATCTCAAAACTCCGTCGCGGCACCAGGTAATGTCCCTGCAGCCGTTTTTCTTAATCGCGTACTCGACCTATTTGATATAAAAAAACCTTGATTGATTTCAATTTTATAAAATTATTAATAAAATCACCTCCTTTCCGGAGTGCTTTCTGAAAAAGTCGACGAACGCGTACGGCGGGAAAAGATTGGCCGGGTGGTCCTTGAGCGGGCCGACGCACCTTTTGCGTCCCTCGAACGCCATCAGCAGCTCCGTGTGCGCCGCCGGCCTCTTTTCCTTGAACTGGGCCATCAAGTCCTGGCCAAACAGCGCCGCCAGCAAAGACTCGAATTCCTTGTCGACCCCTGCGAATTTTCGTTTGTATAAATTGATTTTTTTCGGTTGCGTGCGTGCAGCGTTTTGAAGAGGCGCGTCGCGCCTCGAGCCGGCTTTCGAAATTGATTTTGCTCACCTGTGGCTCCAAAAGGGCCTCCAGTGGCAGGCAGCAGCTCTCTTAGCGTCGCATCGCGTCCTGATAGCTCATGCAGTGTAATATCGACGGTGCCACCCCCACAGTCCGCCACCAAAAATCGAACCGGGGTCAATGGCTCGGGCGAGTCTGTCAGCGAAAGGTTGCTTCCGCTGTCCGAAGAGCTGCTTGAGCTGCAAATTAAGTTTAATTAAAACGCTGAAATCGATCTGATTGAAAGAAAAACAAGAAATCTTATCATTTAAGTAAAAAAAGGAACATTGCTTAAGAGTTTCGAGCTCAAAAAGTTCCCATACCGGGAGTCGAACCCGGGCCGCCTGGGTGAAAGCCAGGAATCCTAACCGCTAGACCATATGGGACTTGTGGGTAAGCAGGGCTACCGGCTCAAGTCTTTTGCAAATTATGTTACAATCGAGGCCATTGCCTTTTTATCTTTATTCATTTTATTGGCACGAGGCTGATTTTGGCATTCTCGAATATTGGTAGTGAATATTTAGGCCTTATTTTGTCTTTAAAATGACATTTGAGTGGATTGAAAATGTAAAAATAAAATACAATTATTATTAAATTTCTATAAATAATCTTCTGAAGAGAGGGGTAAATAGGGAGGTCTCACCATTCTAGTTATGAAAAAGGTTTTTCTAAATACTAATGTTTTAACCACTTTTAACTGTATAATTATAAAGAAGTTGCTTTTGACTGAAATTATTTTTAAGTTATTTGTCTCAAAATTATCAAACTAATTACCTGGACTTGGAAGAAATGTTTCTGGCCGTGCCATTTTTCCTACTCAACTGTGCCTGCTCTTGCAAAAGCTGCTCTCTGCATTGCACAGCCGCCGCCTCTGGCTCCAAAACGATCAGCAGCCGTTCTGCACTTTCCGAGTCACACAGGCCAGCCTTTAATTAATTTTAATTTAATTATTTAATTTGAGATAATGAAACATATAAATTACCTGATAAGCTGCCTCTCTAATGAGTTGCCGAGCCGGTTGCCTCCAAATGGCTGGCACAGTGACCACCCAACGAATGTCCGAAGTGTCCGGCGCATTTTTCTGTCCACATCTCTCGCTCAACTCTCGCAGTGCGAATTCTTTGAAGTGTTTGAGTGAATGTGCAAAAACTACGAGTGCAGGTTGCGTTTTTCCATTGGAAGCCGCTATTGGTGTGTCACGGTGTAACTCCTTAATAATAATAATGTGATGATAATTATCAGGAAGATTTCAAAGGAATTTAATTTTAAATAGTCAGACAAATCTTTTTTATAATTTTTTGAAGGTCTTTTAATTTACCAATATTTACTTTCAGCATTCAGAGATTCAATTTTATAGAAATGCAATTTGAAAAAAAAAATTGATAGTTTAGTTGGTTTAGTTATAAGTTTCAATTTTTGTTATTTTTCCTTAATTTGAATTTGATTGGCCTGATTACCGTGTCACGGTGCAGACACATCTTGAACCTTTCAAAATACTGCCACCGCCGAGCCTCGGTCTGCGGCAGGTCGTGGTAGAAGTCGCGCGCCGCCGAGCCGAAAGAGTGGAACGCGCCCGTCGGCGTGAGCAACAGCACCGTCGGCGTTTTGTGGTTCACCAGTCCCGAGTCCGCTCCTTGAAATAAAACCAAATTAAATTTATAAATCTCACATATTTTTAAAACGAAATAAAAAAAAACCTCACCTTCCCACCGGCGCATGATGTGCACTTGTCTGCCAGGTTCTCTGCAGACGCTGTACGCGTAGCCGCTGTGCGTTGTGCCCAAGTCGATGGCCACGACCGCAGACACGGCCGCGGCCCCGCACGGGGAACGCCTGTCCAGCACTTCTGGTTGCGAACATACACCTGAATCGGCGGAGTTTGATCTGAAGTAAATAAGAAAAGTGTAAAAATTCGTTGATAATTGAAATATTTTTGAGCCGTATAAAATTAATAGAAATTTGTAAGCGACAAGTACAAAAAAAAAACCAATTTTATAATTTTTAAGCAATACAATTTTAAACTTTTCCTAGAAAGTTTACTAAAAAAGAGCGATGATAATATAAATGAAATATGTCTCGAAACGTAATTCCACGTATATGCGATTTGTCAAAAGTTAACTAATTTAATTATTATTCCAGTTTTGAGTGGTTTCGTCGGTTTTTAAATTATCAAACAATATTTGTAATTTTCTTCTTAAATTTTTAAATAATTAATAATTTTTTACCTAAAATCGTTTAAAACTGAAATAAATGAAAATTTATAAAAATCCACATTGAAAACGTTTCTGACCTTTGTGCCGGTTGCGAATGCTGCTGCGTGTCAATTTCCAGCGGCTCCGTGGGAATCCTGTCCAGGGATGGGGGTGCGAAACTGACAAAGGGGTTCACATGTTCCGGTTCAGTCAATTCAAGGGACCTTGCGCTTTCTGCCGCCTGAAGACAAAGCGACTCCTCGGCAGTCACCACCAATTCCTCCACGCCTTTGAAAGTGTCCCTCTGTCCAAGATAAATGACTGAGTCGCCGTCGCACGAAGACGCGGACGACGTGGTCGAGGGTGCTTTTCCACCCATCTGTAATTTTTTGTCATTATTAATATAATTTTTTTTCTCTCCCCAGAATTACTTTTTTTGAGTGGGCATCATTTTCCTCAATGTCCGAAAGCATTTCGTCGATTTCCCCGTCGGATATCAAATCGCCTTCATTTTCGGTCCCGCTCTCGTCGTCGGATTCGCTTTCCTCCTGAACTCGATACTCTTCTGTTATATCTCTTGGACCGATTTCCCTCAGGTCTGTTTCTATTTTATTCGAGTCCGCGTTTCCGCGCAGAGCTCTCAACTCGTCCGAGCTGCTGCAGTCCAAAGTGACGCCGTCCACTTGTATCAGACCCGCCGTCCCTGCGTAACACGAGTCGCAAACTTCACCTGCAACATAATCGCTACGTTACGGGCAATTTTCATTTCAGGCCAAAAACGGCAAGATCTTTATTATTTGTTTTAATTAAAATCCCTTGAGGAAGTGACCTGATTATTTAACACCTTCCCTTATCAGATTCCAGACATTGGTGCGCAAGAGCCCTACATTTTAGTAACGCCTTTTGTCAGAATTTCATCACGGTATGTTAATTATGTAGCTGTTATTTGATGTCTCATCCTCTTAATTTTAATGTTTCCTCAATTAAAAATGTCACGACCGCGCAACTTGTATTTTTTCGTTTATTTTTATTTGAAAAAAACCATGGCGCGAGCGATTAAGGTGTTCTATTGAGTGGGCGCGTTACCGTTTTATCGTCGGCATCAAGCCTAAAGAAATAAAATTATCAAAGGCTTTGAAGCAAGCGTCGTCGTCATCTCTCGAGTCGAACGTTTCCACGTTTTTTACTGTTTGTACTGCAGATTTAGCGTCAACTTTAAAACTGCACAACGTGTTTTGCTCCTTGTACAAGGAAGAACATAAAAATTTATAGTTCAAACTGATTTTGAAACATGCATTGTATGAAAAAGTCGTGTAACGTGGAATTATATAAATGACAAAGTGCATTGTCATTCATTATTATCGTTATAACATTTAACTGTTTAATTAACGCAGACAAATATGTTTATATAAAGTTATCTCTCTGTTAACTGTTTGCTTGTCCGAAGTTGTTATTGTGGATAAAATATTTCCATTTCTGTCCCTTGCCATTTTTAATTTTGAGAGAGGTTTTCAATTAATTAATCTTGCGAAAATTGTATTCTATTCACTCTAATTAAATAGGAATTATGTGAAACAGTATGTTTTAGTATTAATTAGATTTTGCGGAAATATTTTTTATTTAATCTATGTTTATTTCGCTCTTAGCTATTTTTATAAAATTTTACTTCTGAAAATTATGATAAATACTTTTTTATTAAATTTATTATTAATTTCTCATTTCATATTATTTTCTCCGAATCAGCATAATTTAGGTCAATTTTTGTATAAATTAATTGCAGCCAGCCAGGTCGGCTTAGGTCAGTTCATCCTATTATGATGTTTACTAATATTAATTTTTACATTGAGCAATAGTTTCATAAAACCGGTACTTAAAATTTACGAACAATAAAACTTACTCATTATGCTCGCCTTGGCGAAAGCTTGTTTCAATGCACAATGGAATATTAATTTAAAAATATAATTCATCTTAATCACTTTTATACCCACTGGCCTGACAATGAATCGCAAACAAATATGCATAATAATTAGATTTGCTGCAACAAATGCAATTCTTCAGAGTGCGATGCACTTTTTCCCTTGCAAAACAAGACTCTTAATTTACTTTCTATACAATTTTAATTGCTACTGGTCTGTCTCTTTCGCTAATCAGTTTTTGGGTAAGCCATAGTTGCCTCACCGCATTTATTTTTTTTTCGTCTATCTTATTAGTACGCTCGGCGGAGTTAAAAAAAAAACACCATAGCAACAAGTGCCGCCTATTGCAAGATAGAGCGGCCGCGTGTTCCAATTTTGAAGAGTTTACGGAAGCACGCTTTCTTTCCCCGCAAACGACTACCGGTGTGATGCATGTGCCGCACAATGAATGCACCTTGCGCCGAATATCTTGCTTGTTTCCTTAAATTATGATATTGGGCCTTTTTGCATCGTTAAACCAAACCGTTTATCTTTAAATTATTCTTTTGAGAAACGTACGAAGAATTCCTTTTATCATAGTCTTTAAAATTTGTAAATAATTGCAACAAAGGCTAGAAAGCTTTGATACGTTATCATCAAGTTTTTTTTTAATTCTAGGATGAATTTAAATTACTGTTTAAATTTAGTGTAGAAATATGTATTTTTATCTAAACGCATAGGAGCGGAAAATTTTCCAATAATTAGAGACATCATTGCTGCAAAAGATTCCCTACTGTTTATGCAATTAATTTCTTGTCAAAACTCATTTTCTGTGCAAATGTGTGCGACTTCAATTAGTAAAAACGTCAATGGCATTAAATTATGGATTATTTGATTTTGAAAGCTAAATTAAAATTTAAATTTATCAAGAAATCATGAAACTTTTTGCAAACAGACGAAAATTGTTTTGCAACGGAGCAAGAATATTTATTATTTCCTGAATTTTTAATAATTTAGAACTTATTGTTAGCTTTACTTATCCTTGTTTTAATTCACTTTTGTACTTTTGAGATTTCATTGGCAACAATGAGAGCAGCAGGTGCGATTGAACAAGAACAAAGAATCTCGGCAGAAAACAAGGCGATCACACGATACAAGCCTAATTCTTTCATCCCGTCTGCCGTATTGTGGTTAATTATGGCCAGAGCCTTTTACTATTTGGGTTAGTATGGCTTTTATCAGACCGGCGAGTGGAGCCAAACTGGTCAAAGTCCAGTGCCCACCGTCTCTTCAAAGCCGTGACCAAGTAATTACGCCGCCGCCACCACTGAGTAATTTACAATTTTCTTTGTGGTACAAAGAGCAATGAAAGAAGTTTCGATTGAAAAAGACCAAGATTTACAGCTCGTCAAAAATTTCGATTTCTACTTTTCGCGGGCGCCAATTCGGCCGCGAAATTGAGCATTGGCTGCGGTTGTTTACGACGGAAAGAAGTGTCGCCTCGTGGCACACGCCGAGGAAAATTCGGTCGGCCGTGAAAATTAACTTTACGATGGGAAAACGATCCGTGCGAAATTAGGCAGATGCTCGGCGACCTGAAATCTCACACTCGAGAGATGATTTGTTTATGAATGAATGAATGCGTGCTTTCTCACAAAGACGAAAATTGCAGCCGCGTAAAATCGGTGACAAGGTGACAAAAGACTGAGAAAGGATGAGCAGAAATTTTATAGCTGTAATATATGAAAAAAAAAAACGCAACCTTCATTTATTTCCAAGATAAGAAAATAAAGCATGATGAAAATTACTCCGTAAAAAAAAGTTAAAAAAATCACAATTATACAATGTATAAAAAAAATTATAAATTTAATTTCAATTTTAAAAATTAAAAACTTTGTTAGTTTTTCTTACACTTATTGATTATTATTTTAATATTTTTCTTTATTTATATTTAAATTATTATTAATAATAATAATTTATTATTGTTTATTTTTTACCAATGGTTACATTACATTATAAGTTAACTATTTGATTAAGATATATTAATAAATATCTAATAAATTAATTGGTATTGCTGCAATCTATTAATTACAATTTATTTTCAACAATATTATTTTGTTACATTAAGTTCAGAATGTAAACTTCCATGAACAAATTATAGTAATTGCCGATATTTGAAACTGTATATTTATGTTAATACTTAGTTTATATTATGAATTATGAAGAGAACAATAATTTAATTAGAGTTGAGGATGTCGTTGTAAATTTAATATGGGCCATGTTGGAAAAATATAATTAAATTTGTTGTACGGTTAACGTGGTTGCACGCCACAAGAATTAACTTGTTATGCTAGAAAATTACAATTAACAAACTTACTTAAAATATAGTTAAATTATGAAATACGTGTTGCACCTCGCCAAATGCACACAACTATATTATTTTGAAATCCGTCATGGATGAAAGTGAAACGAGATGCACTCTCTAATAACCATCGCGAGCGTGACACAGGCCGGTGCATAAAATGAAATTTCATTCTGCTCATTGTCTGAGTTGTATTATTACTATCAGTCATTCGCGCACCGACAGCTCATAAATAAATATACACGCAGCGATAATAATTAAGGTGAAGAAACAACAAGTGTATATTTTAATGTGTACTTTTCGCCAGCAGCGCTGACCATCACAATCGTTTTGTCCGAGCGAAGCAAGTAGAGCGGAGGAGCGCTGTAGAAATTGCGTCTTGCGATTTCAATACAGCCACTCTAATTACCCATTCATGATAAAAAAGCCCAACTTTCATCTTTCCATTTGTTTTTGAGGAGGCAAATTTGCATGTGGAAACGTGATTATCATCTTAATTACGCCTTTAAGAAAGAGAAGTGCATTTTCAATTTTCAAGGCTGGTTTAAAACTTTTTATTTCAATTCGGACAATTTCGTACGTCGGTTTAATTGAGCTGTGTTTTTTTCTTCTGCTGCTTCCGGTGAGTGTGCGTTCGACGCGTGCGGAGGCCTAACTAAATATTCATTTTGGGCGCAAAACAAAGGACTCGCGGCAATTTGCAGGGAGAGATATTGGCCGTGCTCCGCGAACCCCAAAGTTTTGCATATTCTGTGTTGATTGCCTGTTTCCTCTGCTTTTTTCTCCAAGGCCGCCTTTAAATTGGCCAAAATGTGGTAAAATGCAGTGTTTGATGCGCATTAAATTTTATCTTCTAATAATTATTTTCCAGTTGATATCATTAAAATATGCCGAAATGTATTTAGGAGTATCATTTTCTTGCAAGGAAGAATTGAGTGAAACTATAATTAATTAATTTATAAATTTTTTGAGTTTTAGTTATTAAAGCCGCATTGAATTTTAAGTAAATTATTTTGATATACGCATAAATTGGATAATTTAATAATCTACTTTAATTCTTTATTTGTTTATACTCAAATTAAAAGAGCAATTAAAAACAGTTTTTGCTTTATTTATAGGTAAATTTAAATAATGAAACTGGTTCATTTGTTTCAAGGAAATGCTTCTTAAGAGGAAAAAGCCTTAGTTTATAAATTTTGAAAATTATTTAAAGTCAAATGTTATTTCTCTTTTCAATATTGAAGTTTCTTCAGATTGGGCAAATAATTATATTTTTTGGATTATAAATAAAATTGGTGATTCACAGATAGATCCTTTAATTCAAATTATGCTCTAATACAATAAATTTTAAATTAAATGGTAACACTCGAGGTGGAAATCATAAAAAATTGAAACCGGGCGAACCTCGTTACAAAGTAGAAATGAAAAAATAAAGGACAACTGACCCCAAAGGCGACCTGCGGTCAGCTGGTACTTTAAAAACCTAGGGTTTTGTCGTGTCCCAACTAAAACTAAGTTTAATTTCTTTCTTTGCAACCAGGTTCGCCCGATTTCAATTTTTCACAATAAATTTTATTTAAAATATCTATTAAATTAATAGAGTTCATTGCTACTTTACGCTATTTGAAGATATTCCTGAAGACAAAAATGTAAACTGCACAACCTTGCGCACATACCTTCGCTTAGGGCTGCTTGGCAGACGATTTCCTTTGGCACGGCGAGCTCGTCGTCAATGGTGGTGACCGCGGGCTCGGCGAAGTGAAGGTGTCGTCTCGCGGCGTCGAGGGAGGGTCGCCGTTGGCGCCTTCGCATGGGCACGCTGTACTCGGGCAGGGCGAACCCCTGCACGGCACTCGCCATATCCGTGTGTAATGGATGCGCTCTCTCTACCTGTGAGACTCGACCGAGACTGACACACTACACCGCCGACGAAACGATATACGCCCTTTCCGCAGCCGCTTCTTCCACAGAACAACCGCAGTGGCGCCGTTTTACCTGCCGCGCGACGATACCTGAGTTCAATCCTTTCGCTCGTCAAGTTGCAAAAACCAACGATTCGTCAAACTCTTTCAACCCTTTCGCTCAATTTCTGGACAGTAATTTTCATTCACATCCTTTGGGATTTGGGATGTCATTGGACTTTTTTAAACGTCAATCAGGAAATATTTGTTTGAAAGTCTAATTTTAATTAATTTAATGCGGAGCTTAATGATTTTTATTTTTTTCCTTTTAGATGAAAACCATTTTTAAATTTCCTTTGCTTTACTATGCAAAATATCATATCACATTTTTTATTTCACTTTTTACGGACACGCCTAGAGAGGGTTTTGTTGTGGTAAAGGTGCGACCCAATTTCAAATTTCATCATTTTTATATTTTTTATTTTTTTATAATTATTATTTTCAACTTAAAAATTCAAAGCATAAAAATGAAGTCATTTATTAATGGATCGGTGATTCAAAAAGAATAATATGTAAAAAAATATTTGTTTAAAGAAGTTGAACTCAAGGAGATAATCATGGAAATGAATGAGTCGGGCTTTTTCCTCGTTGCAGAAATTTGTTCTTTTTCTGCAACGAGGAAAAAGCCCGATTCATTCATTTCCAATAAAATATTTCATATAATTTAACTCACAATTTAAACCTCAATCCTCAATATTGAATTTATTCAACACCAATAACAAGTTTTTTTTTTCAATTTCTTCCCCAATGTCATCCACATAGTTTTTTTCCAACTTGAGGGTTGGTCCCTAATAACAAACAAAAATTATAAAATACTCATTCGTATTAAGAGAAAATGATTTTGTGGAGATTTATTAATTTATTATTATAATTATGTTATAATTTATAATATAATTATTTTATTCAATAAAATTTTGTACATTTTACAAACAACTTTTCTAAGTGGATGCATTCAATTATGGGATATGTGAGTATTTTGAGATGGGAAATTTTAAAACTTAAAATTTTTGTCTCCACTGAGGAGATTAAATTTTAATAATAAAAGTACTTTCTTGGCTTGTCTTGTTTTATTTAAACAGAGAGATATGTTTTATCGTTCTTAAAATTATTTATTATTTTATTTTAGTTGCAGTAATTCTATTGTTTTGGCTCACGCTGGAGGTCACAAAAGTAAACGGTTTTAATTAATGAATTAAATTAAGCGACACAATCATAAACATAAAAATTTCATGTTACAAATGTCGTTTTTGTTGTTCAACATCCATTTTTTTATAACGAGGTTTTTTCACATTCTTGGCTGTTTTCTCTGCCTCGGCAATCGTCATCGGCAGCGGCTTGTCGGTGGTCGCTGGAAGCAGAAACGCCGCCCAAAACGCAGAAAATAAGGCCAAGAACCCAAAGACTGCCTGGACCACGAAAAGATTGTTCTGCCGAGGAAAAAAATTAGCTCCTATGAAATTCAAATTTTGATTCTCGTCTTACAATGTACGGTGTGTAATAAGCTGCGAGCACGAAAATTTGGCCCAGGCCTGCAAAAGTGCCCAAAAAAGTGGCTCTGAGCTTTGTGGGAAATATTTCGACCGCTGACAAAGCGAGGGACGCAAATGCACCAGAAACGGCCGCTCTCGACAAAAAGTAAAGTGGCAGCTTCGTGTAGTAAATATAGCTCCCTGCAAGTTTGTCATTTTAGTACAGAGCAGAGAAAAAAATTTAATCTATTACCATAGCTTGCGCGCGGAACGAAAACATTGGCTACGTTGCTGAAGGCGCTGAAGAAGAGTAAAATTCCTATCGATTTCGGTCCGTCCAGAAATCGGTACAGCCCGAGTGCTAACAAAAATCCCGGCACGTCCATGAGCCACAGAACGATATTGCGAAAATAAAGGTCGTCCATGAAATCAGGCAAAATTGGTGGATTTAGGAATAGGCCAAAATTTAAAAATGCCATAGCGCACCTGAAATTATTCAAAATAATTTAAAATGGGTTTTAAATTAAAAATATCTCACCACAAAACCAGACAAACGAGATATCGTAAAATTATTTTCCACGATGAAAGTGCTGTTGAGAGGATTGTTCTGACCGACTCCTCTTCAAAATCTTCATCGCCCTGATTCTGAACGTTTAATTTAAACGATGTAATAAATAAATCTTTTAATTATTTCCTTTGAAAATTTACTCACAACACTTCCATTATACCAGGTCGCAATTTTGCGCAGCAGATAATTATTTTCAAAGACTTTTCCACTGATAATTACTTTTAAAATCAAAACTCTTGCATCTCCTAAGCGCCCGCGCACCATTAGCCAACGAATCGACTCGGGCAAAAGCCTAAATGATAAATAAATTAACCACTCGATTAATGTTAGAAATTTTTCTTACTTGATGCAGAAGAGGAATATGACGGCGGATGGTGCGTTGACCGTCCAATAAGTGTGTTGCCAGTGTCGGTAAACCTTGGAAATCAGCGCCACTAAAATATAGCCAAGATATTTGCAAAAAGGCGCAAACAAAATAGCAAAGAGGTAGCGCAGCTTTGCCGGAACAACTTCCAACACTATAAAATTAATTCAGACACTTTAGTTAAATTGCAGCTTAATAAATTACGACGTGAAGTTACACAGAATCAAGGCGAGATTGTATATTCCACCGTTAAAGAGAGACTCGCAGACTTCCAGTACAAAATAAATTTCAAAGTAAAGCGGCATCGTTTTAATCAAAGCGAAAACTTTTGTTGCCAAAAGGGAGATGACTAAAACTTTGCTCCGACCGTATCTAAAAATTTTGAATGTCAAGTTTTTTTAGAGATAGAAATAATACGAACCTGTCAGCCAGAATTCCGAGGAGTAAAAAGCTGAAGATTGCGGCAAAACTTTTTGATTGGCCTAATAAAGCAAACTTCCATTCATCTTCAGAGCAAAGCATTTCAAACTGGAAAATTTATCGTTGATTTTATATTCGAAATTTTGAATTTCAATACAGTTCTCTGGATAGTGACGTCTGTCTTATTGAAAACCCATCTTTGGCAGCTTTCAAATGGGCCGTAATTGTTGACTTCGAAAAAGCACCGATCGGTTCGGTTGTCCAGGTGCTCAAAAGTGAGGCAACCTTCTGGTGATCCATCTAATGTGACGGGAACTTTGTTCTCCAGCCAGTCGAGATCAAAATTGTTTGGACCTCCTTCTGTGTCTCCGCATTCTGGTAACAAGCATCTATAATATATTTTATTTTATAAGAATTTTTTTTAAGTAATTCTATTGCCTGTGGAGAACTGTATCCGTCGCAAAAATATGAGCCACGGAGCTCATTGCGCTGAACATAATGATCAGGCCAAGCAGCAGGTAGTTCAGTAATTGCACGGGTTTGGTACTTCCAGTTAATTTCAAGACTTCCTCGTAGTCTTCTCCAACGCCTCCGAGGTCGTTCATCAAAATTCCGGAGCTCCATGACGTCCAGTAAGTGCCAAATTTTGATTGTTCCATTTGGAAAAATTAAAATTTTTTGACACTCTTTATGCCGGCTAAATTGTTATATCCTTAGCCGGCAGCACGAGCGAAACTGCGAAACTGCCTCTTGAAATTTGCATTGCAAAAAATCTTATCTTAAAAGTTTTTATGTGGAGATGCGCAAATGAGATAATATTTGAAGTTTGCGTTGATAAGAGACTAACCAAATAGGTAACAAAATAAATATAGAGAATTCTTTCAAGAACCAAAAAAATGTGGAGATTTTATCCTCCAATAATTTGTTTTCATATAATTGTTAGTAGCATAAATAAAATAGTTCCTGTTTTTGCAATGAATTAATTATTAATAATATAGTTTTATTTGATTATTTTTTTCTGAACTGAAACTTCTATTTGCATATAATTTTGATTTTAAAATAAACTTATATAAAAAATAATTCGAGGCTTTTCTAAGAACTGCCGAAAGTCAACTTTTCCTGGCAAACGCGGCGTAGGGTCGGCCGTCGTCTGTGATTTTCCTTTCGCGCGCTTTGGCAGCACAATCGCCAGAAGCTACCAATCACAACACGGCACGCCCCTTTGTGCCCTTTTTAATTGAGAAATGAGCAAGAAATGAGTTTGTGGTTGGAGTTAGGAGTGACTGACCTTACAGTAAAAATTCCGAGTTAAAACTTTTATGCAGCTCACATGATTTTAGAAACTGTCGCACCGTCAAGCATAGTGTTAACTGAAAAAATTTAGGAGGAAACTTAAACTGCTGTTATTCGTAAGCATAACATTCTGAATAATCTTACTTACGAAAATGTCCATTTATAAATTATTATTTTTTTTACACTCAAATTAAAATGTCAAAAAATGGGGTGAAACATTCAGGAAAGGGTTGATAATTATATCAAAAGTACATAGCAGAGTTTGCCAAAATTGAAACCTCTGTGAGGCCCAAGTGAGGCCTTCATATAAAAAGACGCCAGAGTACTCAACACTATCGAAAAAAAAAAATGATTTGAGCTCCACAGAGATTACGTACATATTACACGATACAGTATAATTTTTTTAAATGAACCGATTAAAATTTTTTGAGTTATTTTTTATCATTGATCATCTTCATATGTTGTACAATATATCTTAAAAATCATTGGTGTTACATTCTGGGACCATCAATCACTTGAGAATTTCTTAGTTCTAATATTTCGTGGTATGTTTTTAATTGAAAAGACATAACATTTTTAGTAGCAAAAGTATTACGAAATGAATAAAAATTCATACAACAATAAGTATTTTTAGCCAAACAGCAATTTTTGCTATCAAAATTAAATTAATTTTCTTTTACTCATAATTTTATTTTTGATTTCAGAAAATAAACTCTCAAAATGGACTGGCTGCAGATAGACACCGGTCCATTTGACTTTGGCCAGCATTGGCAGTGGAACTGGACGGAAGTGTGTGGTTCCGAAGGCTTTAAAATTTGGGACGTCGAATCAACGAACTTCGGCAACTGCTTTTCGATTTTGTGCGTCCAAATTCCTGTGTTAGTCATTTTCTCCGCCGTGTCTGCATATTATTGCGGAAAGCCAACGCACCGAGTTTTCAGGACGAAAGGACAGTTGTGGACCATTTGGCTGCGTTGCGTCCTCGTCCTTCTGATGGCGGTGTTGCCCATCGTGGAAATATGTCTGCTCACAGCCGAGGCTGACAAAATTAACGGTAACTTATTAAAATTTGATTATTTTATGTAATTATTTATTTTTCCTGCAGAGCCAGTCAATTATGTTGAGTATTTGCAAGCTGGGGTGCAAGTTATGACCTGGTTCGTTCACCTGGGCATGTGTATCACCCTCCGAAACAGACTGACCTTGAGCTCCAGAGGCCCCGCGCTGGCCATTTTCCTCTGGAATTTGACCTTCTTGTGTGACATGCTGCTTTTCCGCTCCAGTCTCCTCCACGTTGACAAGACGAAACTGGCCTCGGACATTGGGTTCACGTTTGCCGCATCGACGGTGGCCGTCCAGGTCTTCTACCTGAGCACCCTGCTGTCCAGTTTGTGGGCCTCGGACGGCCTCACTGCCGAGCAGCACGCCAGCATGCTGGACAGCACCATCTCCGGACACTCGTACAGTCAGTTCCAAGAGGACCAGGACCCTTACTACCTGGGCGTGGCTGCCGACGGAGCCTCCTGTCTGTCCAGACTGTTCTTCCAATGGGTGACGCCATTGATGAAGAAGGGAGTTGATGCCAAGTTGACCGGCACAGACGAGCTGTTTGATTTGCCTCAACAAGCGTCAACAAGAATAGTCAGCAGAAGATTCAACGACGCTCTGTCTGGACAGACCGGCCAAGACCGAAAACAGAGGACGCTGTTAAGTGCCTTGCACAAAAGCTTCGGCGTCCAGTTTTACAGCATTGGTGTGCTGAAGCTGCTGACAGATTTGGCTGGTTTTGCAAGTCCGATGTTGCTGAATGGGTTGGTCAACTTCATCGAGGACAAAAGCAAGAGCGTCCGAACTGGACTAATTTACGCTGCTGGTCTTTTCATCGCCACAACCATAGGTAATTTTAATTTTTCTTCCAATTTTAACATTAAATTTTATCTTTCTAATTCTTATTTTTTTTTATGTCACTTTTTAATTTTAATAATAATTCAAATTTCCAGCGGCCTTCTGCAACGCTCACTTCAGCTACTTGGTGTCAGTCGTGGGGCTAAAAATCAGAGCTTCTCTAATTACCGTCGTTTACAACAAAATTTTGAAACCAAGTCTTTCCAGTTTGTCAGAATTGAAGTAAGATTTTCCATGTTTTTATCAACAACCAAATTTTATGGTTTAATAATTTATCCAGCATGGGTGCCATCGTAAACTACATGAGTACAGACACAGACCGCATTGTGAACAGTTGTGCCAGTTTCCACGCATTTTGGAGCATTCCCTTTCAAGTAAGAAATGCTGAAAATTTATTTTGTCATTTTAAGCTTCTTATCAGATTGCAGTAACTTTGTACTTGCTGTACTTGCAAGTCGGACTTGCATTTCTCGCTGGACTGGCTTTCTCAATAATTTTGATTCCCATCAACAAGTGCATCGCATCCAAAATTGGTGAGACCCATATTAAAATCATATCACATTGATATTTTAAATTAAACTTCCTCAGGCCAACTGAGTGAAAAACTTATGGAGTGCAAGGATGACAGAGTGAAATGCGTCAGCGAGGCTATTTCTGGAATTCGAGTGCTGAAATATCACGTTTGGGAAGATCACTTTGCCAGCAAAATCAAAAGTAATAATTTATTTCTTGTTTGTATTAGATGAAAATATATATTTTTTTTCTTTAGAATTGCGTAACTCGGAACTGAAATATTTAAAAGGTCGTAAATACTTGGACGCACTCTGCGTCTACTTCTGGGCGACGACACCAGTGCTGATCTCGATTTTGACTTTCACGACGTACACGCTGATGGGGAATAAGCTCACTGCTGCCAAAGTAATTATATTTGTTGTGATAAAACATAAAATATATTGAATTATTTAGGTTTTCACAACCATAGCATTGCTGAACATGCTAATTGCGCCGCTGAACACATTTCCTTGGGCTTTAAATGGACTGACTGAAGCATGGGTTTCTATGAAACGAATCCAAAGACTGTTGCTAGTATTATTCCATAATTTTAAGATTTTTAACAATATCATCAAATACTTTTATTTCTAAGGTGCCAGATGTAGATGTAGCAAACTACTATGCAGCTTTCAATGACTTTGAGTCGAGACGAACTGACGTTACCGTCATTGGTGCCAGTTTTGAGTGGGGTCATTCTGCTGCAGATGAAAATGCGCCTCTCATTCAGTCAAAATTTACGCTCCATGATATAAATATTGAAGTTTTCCCAGTAGATTTATAAGGAAAAAAAATATTTACCCTTTTAACTGAAATGAAAATCAGGGTCAACTGGTGGCTGTGATTGGACCTGTGGGGAGTGGAAAATCTTCAATATTGGCTGGACTTTTAGCTGAAATGGACAAGAAATGTGGTTCTGTTTTCATGACTGATCTCAAAGACGGTAAATTTAATATTTTCAAAATTTAAATTATTTCTTAATTTGTTTGAAAGGATTTGGATATGTGGCGCAGCAGCCGTGGCTTCAAAGAGGAACAATTAGAGACAACATTTTATTTGGAAAGACTTACGAGCATACCCGTTACAGGTAACTTGTGTTCTCAATAAAAATTTTGCTTGATTTAACTTTTCTTAAATTGAAGTGAGGTCCTGGAGGCCTGCTGCCTGGAGAATGACTTGCAGCAATTGCAAAGAGGCGATCTCACTGCTGTTGGTGAAAGCGGATCAACCCTGAGTGGAGGGCAGAGGGCGAGAGTTGCCTTAGCCAGGGCTGTTTACCAAGACAAGCTTATTTACTTGTTGGACGATATCCTTTCCGCAGTCGATCTCGAAGTTGCCAGAAACATATTTTCCAAGTGTATCATGGGATTGCTGAAGGACAAAACAAGACTGCTCTGCACACACAATAGAAATTTCTTGCAAAATGCTGACTGGATAGTTGTGGTTGAAAACGGCTGCATAAAAGCTCAAGGTATTAAATTAGGGGAAATGGTAAATTCCGTTTAATGCAATATCTACAATTTAGGCCACCCAGAGGAAATATTGGAAAATTTTGGGCAAATTATAGAAGAACCAAAAAAATTAGCTTCTAGCCTCGACACTTCTGCGAACATTGAGGAAACTTCAAAGAATGTAGAGTAAGTGTTGTTTTATGGAAATTTTGCAATTTTTTAAATCAAAATGTTTTTTAGGCCGAGTGAAAACATTCAAGAGCCAGAAGGTGACCAAAGAGAAGAGCAAGAGACTGGAAACATAAGATTTTCTGTGATCACCGATTACTGGTGCGCCTTGGGCCATCTGACTGCTGTGACAATTCTTCTTTCTTTATTGCTCATGCAAACCAGCAGGAATTTGTCGGACTGGTGGCTTAGCTACTGGGTTACTCACATTAGTCATAACTCAACCTCAGTTATAATTTATCAAGAAAGAAATAGTTTTTTGGGTTGGGTTGAGCCAAAAGCAATTGAAGTCGAAGAAGTTACTTTCTACTTGATTGTCTACGGAATGATTGCTGGACTCAATTCTATATTCACACTCGTAAGGGCATTTTTGTTTGCCTTCGGAGGTATCAAAGCTGCAGCAAGTCTTCACACCAAACTTCTTAAATCGGTTTTGAGGGTAAATGAAATTTTAATGTTTTTATTCCATATTTAAATTTGGATGTTCGCAGGGGAAAGTTAATTTCTTTGATCTAACTCCAGCTGGGAGGATAATCAATCGATTTTCTTCCGACACATACACAGTTGACGACTCGCTTCCGTTTATTCTGAACATCCTTCTTGCACAATTCTTCGGATTAATCGGTGAGCCCAAAAAATAATTATGGATAAAACGGCTTAATCAATATTTGTTCTCAGGATCTCTGGTTGTTACCACTTATGGTTTGCCGTGGCTTTCTCTGGTGCTTGTTCCGCTCCTGCCGCTGTACCGCTGGCTGCAATTTTACTATCGTCACACATCCCGTGAACTAAAACGGATAGGAAGTGTTGCTCTGTCCCCTGTTTACAACCACTTCAATGAGACACTGCTTGGCTTCACCACCATCAAAGCGTTTCGAGCATCAGAAAGGTAAACAGTTTATAGTAAATCTCTTTTGCTGATTTTAATCAACTTGAGTAGGTTTTCTCAAACCAATGAGCTGCATCTTGAAAACAGCCAGAAAGCTCAATTTTCCAGCATGGCTGCCAGCCAGTGGCTGGGTCTGCGACTTCAATTTTTCGGAGTCATCATTGTGGGCAGTGTGGGACTAATTGCTGTGGTCCAGCACCATTACGGCTATGGTGTCAACCCCGGTTTGGTTGGCCTTGCAATAACGTACGCACTAACGATGACTAGTCTTCTGAATGGGGTCATCAATGCCTTCACTGAGACGGAGAAAGAGATGATTGCCGTCGAAAGAACGCAACAGTACATCAGACAAATTGAACCAGAGCCCCAGGGAGAAACCATGCCTCCTCTTTCTTATCCCTGGCCGAGCCAAGGCGTCATCTTTTTCAATTCTGTTGCTTTCCAACACAGGTGAATATTAAAATTTGAAACACCAAAATCCACCACTAATTTATTTGTTATTGTAGGAGTAACGTGCCATTTAGTTTAAAAGGAGTGACATTCCAGACGCACCCTGCAGAAAAGGTGGGAATTGTTGGCCGAACAGGTGCAGGCAAGAGCAGCCTATTTGCTGCCCTTTTCAGGATGAATGAAATCGAGCATGGACAGATACTGATCGATGCTGTAAATATTTCAAACATGGGGCTACGGACCTTGAGGTTTTTCATTTATACCACTTTCAATCCAAATTACTCATAAATTCCTGACAGATCTCGATTGGAAATCATTCCTCAAGAGCCATTCCTGTTTTCCGGCACTTTGAGAGAAAACATCGATCCACTGGGACAGTACAGCACGCCAGAAATTTGGAGTGTGATCCGCAAGTGCCATTTGGAAGACGTTGCATTTCGGCTTGGAAGTATCGATTTTACAATTGGAGGCAACGGTCGAATGCTCTCTGTAGGCCAAAAGCAGCTTGTTTGCCTTGCAAGAGCTGTTCTGCACAATGCTAAGGTGAAAAGAGGTGTTAATTTTGAATTGTGTTCAAAAATATAGTTGGTTTTCCTATTTTAGATTTTGTGTATTGATGAGGCTACGGCTAATGTGGACAACGAGACTGATCAGCACATACAGACAATTATTAGAGAATCATTTCTCCACAGCACTATTCTTACAATTGCCCATAGAATCAAAACTGTCCTAGACTGTGATAGGTAAGCAATCTTAAGTTCCACAAAATATCTTAAAAATTCATAAAAACATTTCAGGGTATTGGTGATGGGAGATGGAGTAGTTTTGGAATTTGACACGCCAGACGCTCTTCTCCAGAATCCGGACTCTCACCTTCATCGACTGATGCATGAAAAATTGTAAAGTAATAAGGAACAAAAGTATGTATAATTATACCAATATTGAAAAATAGAACAATGAATATTATTATTTATGTATAGAATTATATTTAATAAACCCTTTTAAACAATTTTGACAGCATTACTGCTTGCTTTGTTGTGTACTAGAAGTTTATGCTGCATCTTTGTCTCCTCCTTAAAGGCTAATTTGTTTGCTTTCCTTTCAATTCTCCGCTCCTAAAATTCAAAATTAATTTAAGCAAAAAAAAAAAAATATATTAATAACAATCTTACTTTTCTGTACTCTTTGAGTGCATGTTTTCTCGCAATCCTCTCCTCGGAGGTTTCATTCTTTGGCCTCACGGACAAGGTAGACAAAATTGATACTGCTGCCGACATTTCTTCATCATCCCTTGACACTTTGTCGTTTTCAGCATCCAAAGTTGCCAACGCCCTTGCAGTCAAGCCTTTGCCAAGCACTCCAATTGGCATTCCAGTTTTTGATGAGATTTTAATTTTCTATATTCATGAGTAACAGTTTATTTAAATCACGATGTTGAAAACTGAGGCAGTCTTACATTATTATCAGACTTCTCCCTTGGAATTAATTTGGGGTGGTTGTAAATGTTCGAGTAAGTGGATAAAATTGACTCGCAGTCCCACTTTTCCCTAGTCCTGGCCTCCACTTTCAAGTTGATCATTTCCTCCTCGTCTGATTCCTGCTGAGTGGCCAACTGCTTGGTTTGCTCTTTAATAAGACTGGCATTCGTCTGCTTTTCAAACTCGTCAGCACACCGCATCACAATTTCCGAGTCCACGGGAAGGGTCCCTTCGATCTCATCACAGTCAAGAGCTCCAATTTCATTTTCGTCATAACCAGACATCATCTTGAAGAGAATAAGAGATAATCTTAACAAAAATTTTCAAGCGGTTTTAAATAACAAACATGTTCAAATCTATCGTCGAGAAGTGTGAGCTGCTCGTTCCTTCTAATTACAGAGCTGCTCATGGAATACTCGGTAAATCTGCTCGACTTGGCATCTGCATTTTTAAATTGCGACTCCTTCAAGCTGGGAACACTGTCCTCCATGTCGGAGGTATTGTAGTCGTCGGAATCTGTGTCCCCAGTATCTGACCACTCGTCCTCGTCATCCTCTTCAAAATCTCCCCTGGAATATTTCCAATAGTTAAAATTTTTCAGATTTAATGAACAAAAATATTGACTTATATACACACCCTTCAGCATTGGCTAATTCCATGAAGTTGTCCTCCAGCTCATTTTCTGGATCGTCAAAGTCAAAGTCTTCGTCCATCGCAGCAACAATTTCTGGGTCCACGTCTAGTCGAAGGCCCATGGGCGCTGCCTTGTTGAGCAAACCAACCTCTTCTTCAGCCTCGGAGGCAAAAACGTTGGCTGGCAGCTGAACCGTCTGGCCGCTTGAGGTGGAATGGGAGACTTTTGAAGATGAACCAGGAGGATTCAGCTTCCCAGACTCGATTCTGATTCTCTCGACAGGCTGAAGTTCAACATCGTGGTCGTCAACCGACTTGATGTGCTGCATGTAGTTGTATTCGTCGTCAAAGAAAATTCCAAATTGTCGCTGCTCCTCCATTCTCTTTTCAACTTCTTCAGGCTTTAAAAATGAGATGTTTTTATTAATTTCCTAATAAATTTATTTTATAATCTCACAAACCTTGGCACTTTTGCCTGCCATGGGCATGAGGACCCGTTGAGGAGCATCCTCGTCTGCTGCTAAAGGGTCCTTTTGACTTCTATGGACCACCTGAAAGGTGATTGCCTTCTTCTTGTCGATAAACTTCTTCTTAGGCTGGAATTACAAATCCAAAATTTAAATAACCAGTTGACTCGTTCCATTTTTTTCGAAACATTAAAATAAAATTAAGAAAATAAACAAGTTTGTTGTGCGACTAAAAATCCTTACCATTTTACCAAAAAATTCGACCTTTTATGTGGTTTAGGTCAATTTAAACTTTTAATACTTCTTGACTTGTAGTTACACTATAAGTTAAACACTACGGTAGCTTCTGCGGAAGGTGTGATATCCGGAAATTATTTGGAAAAATAAAGACACAATAACACTGTAAACAAGAAAACGTGTTCTTGTTTTGATTTCAAAACCTGGCAATGGCCGTCGACCGTCAAGTTACAAAAAAGCCCAAAAGGTGGCGCCACGTTACCAACTCGGCGAACATGTGAGTTGTTTACCTGAAACCAACACGTGTGCTCAGCAGTTTGTTAACAAATTTCTAAATAATTATGGATAAAAAGTTGTCTCAAAACAAAGTCCGGACTCCAAGTACAAAGGAAATGGCCTTCGACTTTAAGGAGTTCTTGGCAGCCGAGGAAGAGTTCATTTCAGAAGTTTTTCAGACCTTGCAGATTGAGGAAGAAGGTGTCGTGCTAAAAAATTGTTAATTCCACAACATTTTACTTATTTTGCCATGTTTTACAGAAACTAGTGACAGCGAGGAAGTTGTTGTGCCTGCTAAAAAGCTGAAGACTGCGGACAAAAAAGAAAGTCAGGAGGAAAGCGCCACAAAAGTGAAAGACGAAGCTCGAAGAAAAACTCTTATAGGTTTGGAGTTTGATAAAAAAAATTATTCTCTTTTATTTATTAATCATGTTATAGAAAAGAGGCGTAACAAAAAAGATGCCGTTAAATCTTCAAAAACTAAAAATCAAACATTCAAGACGAAGAGAAAAGAAAAGAAGTTGCTACAGAAAAAATTGAAGAGGACAAAAGAAAAGAGCAATGGTGAAATTAGCGAAAATAGTGAAGAGGTGGAAGTGGTGGACCCACCGAAGCCCAAAACTGTAGAAAAGCCGGTGTTCAATGCTGACGGCAAAATGGTGTTCAGCAAGTTCGATTTCAGCAGCTCGGCGGGTGGCGAAAGAGACAAGGCCAAGAAGGTGGAAAAGGACCCTCGCAAGCTCCTCAAGCAGATCTCCAAGCAGAAGGAAAAAATTAAGCAGCTGGAGGAGAGCAACGAAAAGGACAAGGTCAACCTGATCAAGGAGAAGCAGTCGTGGCAAACGGCCCTCAAGAGAATCCAGGGCGTCAAGGTCAAGGACAACCCAGAGTTGTTGAGAAAGACGATCGTCAAGGACAGGCAGATCAAGAAGAAGAGCGTCAAAAAATGGAAGGAGAGGCAGGAAAACTTGGACAACCTGCAAAAGTCCAAGCAGCAAAAAAGGACAGAGAACATTGCGAAAAAGAGGGAGCAGAAGAGTGCCCATGTGAAGAAAAAGGCCATCAAGAAGGGCCGGCTTGTCCCTGGCTTTTGATTATGTATCTGTGCTTTGTAAATAATAAAATACAAAAATTATTTTTATGGTTATTCCTATTTATCTTATATTGAATCATTATTACGTATTTTTAGACGTACTTAATAATTTAGAATACATTCTAGAGCAGAAATTTAAAAAAAAAACTTTAAAATTATATAAATATGTTCTAATTATATAATGATATTTAAATTTTAATGAATTTTGCAAAATGGCATAATTTTAAAGATTAAATCCGAGAATGCCCCCTGCCTGTGCGCGCTCTGCTTTCAGGCTTGTTGCCCCTCCCCCTTTTTATTTATTTTGATCGCAATCCGCTCGCTATCATGGCGAACCACTACGACATCCCCAGTTGGTAAGCAAAAATTTGCCATTTTCCAACCTTTTTCGAGTCCTTAAAACGATATAACTATTGCGTTTATTTGAGACAATATATAATTTCGATACTTTGTCAAAACATTTCTCCGAAACCTCAATTTTAACTCATAAACACCACGAAAACTTAGCTGTCGACCGCTGTCAGTGTGTCAAAATCAATGAGATTTTTATTTTCCAGGGCTGGAAAGCCGCCAACTGGACTCCATCTCGATGTCACCAAGGACGAAAAACTCATTCAAGTACAAGAGTTATATCATTTAAGTTAAATTTTAAAAAAAAAAATATCATATTTACAGAAACTGATGATCGACACAAAGAAATGCTACCTTTTTGGCCGCAATCCGCAGATGAATGATTTCTGCATAGATCACGCGTCCTGTTCCCGGGTGCACGCAGTCCTCATTTACCACAAGCACCTTGATAGGGCCTTTCTCGTTGACTTGGGCAGCAGTGAGTTGATCAAAGAATTATATTATATTTTTTCTGATGAATTTTCATCTCCAGCGCATGGCACTTACATCGGCAGCATTCGACTTGAGGGTAACAAGCCGACTCAACTGCCCATTGACAGCACCTTCCACTTTGGCGCATCGACCAGGATGTACACCATCAGGGAACGTCCACAGGCAGCTCCAAGACCGATCATCGAAGAGTTGGAACAATCGGCAGAAGAGGCCGAGGGTGGACTTTTGGGTCTTCCAGAGACGGAAACTGAGCTTGATGTAAGTTTTTATTTTTTAATAATACTTAAAGAGCAAACTAATAAAATATTTGCAGAATTTGACTGAATTTAACACGGCACACAATCGACGAATTTCAATGCTCGGTATTCCGGACGAAGAGATTCGCCAGAGCAGAAAGAGGAAGAAACGAGGAGTGACATTTAATGAGGACGAAGAAGTAATCAATCCTGAGGATGTTGATCCGAGTGTTTGGAGGTTCAGGAATCTCATCCAGAGTACTGTGGTGCCAGCAAAGGTATCTTATTGCTTTCCACTTTTCTTTCACAAAATTTCTCCGAAATTTTTGTTATAATAAATTTTTAACAAAATTTAATATCAGTATGTAAAGTAAATGGTAAATACAAGAAGAGAAAAATTGCAGCACAGTGGGGTCTACAGTAACTTCTACACAATAGTTGATATATTTTAAATATTATAATTTTCTAGACTGCTTAATGTCTCCTTTAATAAAATTAGACTTAGGAGTTACACATACGAGTTTTGGCTTTGATCACAATCGGCATTGTTTTTCAGCGCCAACGAGTTGAAGGTGGTTTGATGGGCGACGTAGGGTTGCGTTTGCCAGGCCACCACCCCAGTCATCACCAAATCCTGGGCGGCGGAATGAGCGCGTCCAACCTTTACCAAGACTTGCCACCAGAAACTCACACACCAGGGTCTTCCGCACCTGGCAGCCTCTTCTCCTCCTCGCTTGCCACAAAACTGGGCATCCCCTTGCCCAACCCTGCACCAGACGTCGAGGTTGCGCCTCCACCACCTCCTGAGGCGCCCAAGAGAATTGCGGTCGGACCTGCCAGGCCGCCGGGTGCCGAGCCGGCTGGTCCTAGCATGGAACCCAAGAAGAAGAAATATGCCAAGGAGGCCTGGCCGGGCAAAATGAAGCCCATGCCTGGACTCTTGATGTAAATTATTTTATTGCAAATAAGGTCAGTATTGTGAATAATTACGAACACAGCTGTGGTAAATTTTGCAAACAACAAGTGCTGGAAGTTTGCTTCCAATAAGTGATTTGGCCTGCATAAATACATTTAATGTACATCTTTATTGACTATACCGTGATGTAAATAATAAAATTCTTGCTTGAATTAAAAAAAAAAATAATAATGATGATTTTGTAAATATTTTCATGAGACTCCATTAGGAGATTATTCAAGATTAGATTATAATATTTTTTCTGTTTTTACTAAAAAATTATCAAATTTGCAGGATGTTTCAAGTTTCCTTGGGTACATAAATAACATAATATAAGACACACCACACACCCTTAAGGATTTGCCGTAGTTTTTTCTCCAATTAAATATTAAAATATTCAATTCTGTCCATTTCCACTGCTGAAACTTATGAATAAGGGTACCTGCCAAGATCTTTATTCAAATTTTATAGAGTAAATATTATCTAATTACACTTTTGTCGGAACGAAATATTAAAGTATCTTAATAAACAGGAGCCCCTAAAGACTTCAAGGAAAATACGAATTCTTTTGGTGAGTTTCATGTAACACAAATCGGGATTTTTTTATGTTGATAATAGACCAAAACTGAGTAAAATTAGATCAAATAAATACATCCTCATTATGAAAATAGCTTATAAGTTCAAACTTATCAGAACATTGTTTTAGTTAGAAAAATCGCGTCTATCCAAAATCCCTGATGGCGAATCTTATTGTTGAGATGTCTTCTTGTATAAACAGGGTTAATAAAATAATCCTTTGGGCATAGAAACTTAATTAAATCATTATTTTCTGAAGTAAAAACAATTAAGAAGCTTAAACTAAAATTTTTATTAAAAAACTTCAAATATTCTACTATCCTGGCTCAGATATTTGTACGTTAATTCCAATTCTACTTCACATAAACTTTTTGCCCGTTGGCTAAAGAGGCTGTGTAAAGTTTGCAATCTATGCGACTTGTTTGTGAGCACTAAAGTCACATAAAGAAATTGGGACTCCAGTCTGCGTGTAAAAAGTTGCGATTTATATAGAAGTCAAGCAATGAGAGCCATAAAGTACTTTAATATCGATTGGAATTGCCGAAAAGTTGGCTCGGTGCCTCGGCCGCCGATTGGCCGGTCGCGTTCTCCGCTGACGTCACCGCGTCCTCGGCCAATCGACTCGAGGGTCGGGAAATTTCCCGTCAGCTGGCGCGCAACAAAACAAAACCTGTCTTTGCGCGGAGTCAGGTATCGCGCGCCGCAGGTAAAAGTAGGTTACGGAGGTCGCTCTCGGATAATAATTTCACTTTCAAGCAGATCCTCGTCGAGCCATGTCGTGTCTGAACGGTCGGCGCCCGTCGTAGACTGAGCGTGAAGAATCCGCCCCAGCGCCCTTCGCATTTTAAGGCAGGTGAGTGCGATTCGAAAAATTCAGGAAACGCCAATTTCTGCGACCGAGAGAGAGCAGAAAGAAAGAAAGAGAGGCCGCAGTGCTGCTTCCCAAGGGCCATGGATCGCTTCGTCCGTGCGCGCCTTTTACTTTCCGCCCAAGTGATGCAACCCGCCGACCCGATCGTTCAATCAATTATCTCCGTCGCGATCCTTACAGAGAATCTCCCTGGCTTTTACCTGATGGCTGCTGCGAATGGTACATTTTTGATTATTTTTAACTTTACCCAAGAGAGGAAGTCGAGCCTTGGATCTATTGAAAGCATGACATTGCTCCTCTCTGACGCCGCGCGTGTCTATGTTTTTGCGTGAAGAGCGCGGCCTTCGTCAGAAGTGGTTTTGTTTCCTGCTGCAATCAGTTTTACTATATTCATAAAACACACAGCTTTCAATGAATAATCGCTCTTTTCTTAGAATTAAAAACAAAAGTAAAGGTTGTAGCTTTTTTGTACAACGTGCAAATCTAAAATTAACTCATAATATTACAATTATAAGCAGCCCAAATATTCAGAAACTTCGCTTTAACCTTGAGACAAAGAATTCAGAACGAATTTTAATTATAAACTTAAAATTTGAGCTCAATCTGTAGCATATTTTTTTTTTTTCATATCGCATCTTCTATAAAAAGCGTGCACGAGAGGCCTATAAGACCAACACACTTATTCTTAGAGCTTAGTTTAAACCTTAAATGATTTTATTTGAAGTGAGAAAGAGTTCCTAATTTTAGGACACACAACAAAGCTAAAAGTAACTTAAAAAGCAAGCCGAATTGAAAGTTAATAATTAAGTGAAGTCTGAATTGACCGATAGATTTAAAATAAAATAAACAATTTATGTTTCTATTTGTGTTAAAAAAAAAACGTAGTGAAACTAAATTTTATTTTAAATTCAATCAGAGTAAAAACAAGTAAAAAGTTATAGAGCAAGCCAGAATTATGAATTATTTTAAAGGCCCTAACTAAACAAATGAGCAAAAACTCGTTTTACAGGTCTGGATATGTTTTACAGCAGACAACTTTTAATTGCAAAAAATTATTTTGTGAATATAAAATGCCATTTATTGGCAAACCATTAATCTATACAATTCTTAAATAATTAGAGTTTTAAAATCATGCATTTGAAATATCATAAAAGAAAATCTTTGTTAGAAATTTTTTGGTTGCGTTCTTTCAAAAGCTTTTATTATATAAAAAACACGAGATCATTTCACAGTTCGCATTCTGATTACATAATAACGTCAGCGTTGAAATGACAGCCGACGATTTTTGCCTTTTTTAACAAAACCGAAAGCGCAAGAAGTCGATGTTTATTCTCCTAATAAGCAAAACAATTATGTCGCACGATTTGCCTCCTCGGTATAGAGTAATGTAAACATGTTTGATTGTATAATACGTGTGGTCTCAATACTCATGCATATTCACTGTTGTTGTCGCTCTGGAAGTGATAATCGCGCGCGCTATAGAATTAAAATGTATGCGCCGTACGTCATCATAAATGATAACATTTGCGTTCTCGACTCGTAATAATTCTGAACAAGTTCCGAGGAGAAAACAAACCTCTTTCACGATAATAGTTAGGTGAGTGGTTTTGTGTGAGAAAGAATTAGAGTTTTTAGTAATTTTGACACATGCAAAGCAACAAACACCAAAGTCCTTCACCTTGCATCACCAAAGCAGACGCCCTTTGATAAGAAATCGCCCACCTCTCTTATCAACCCTGGCCTATCATCGCTGCTAATGATCAATAATACAATGAACTGCCAGGGAGTTAACAGTGCAAATTTTCTTATCTGCAAAATATATTTAGTCAGCCTGCAGCTTACGGATTCACGAGAAGTCAAATCCCCGCGCTCTCCTTCAAAATTTAATAAGAATATTTCATATATTTTTTATCTAAATGTTAAAAAACCTGCAATTTATCCGGCGCAAACGTGAGTGCTAAATGGAATAATGGTTTTCATTTTTAATTCAATGCCAAATGATATTTTACTGTCAATGATGATTTGTGCCAATGATGAATTTTTTATGAAAATATATATAGGACGTCAATTTTGTTTGGCCTTTGTGAATGAAACTGGCAATAAATCAATGAGATGCTGATTAGCGAGTCTTTTGTTCGCAGGGGAAGAATTTTTGCCAGGCTCGCCGCCGCCAGTGGCAATGAACGCCGATCATGAGTCAGAGAAAAGTGCCTCCGCTTCGATCCAAGACACTGAGACGTGGGAGAAGAACAAGAAGTTCACCGTGTACAAGGTTGCGGTGAGAAAAGGCAATGCCAGTTGGTTCATTTTTCGCCGATACAACGAGTTCTCAAAGTTATGTGAAATAGCCAAGAAACAGGTAATCATCTAATTTATTCAATAAATTCCGTAAAAATAAAAAAAAATGCGCTGTTGAAAATTTGGAAATTTCAAATCATGTAAAATTTGTTTGAAGAAATTAACACTCGAGGAGATGATCAGGGGAATGAAGAAAGGGCTTTTCCTTGTTGCAAAAATTGCTTTTATTAAAAAACAAAACGACTTCTTTGATTTTTGATCAGGGGTTGCTAGAAAAATATAAAAAATCAGCAAAATTGAAAAACACCACAATTTAAACTATAAATTCCAATCTTAAAAACTAACTTGTATGTTAAAATGTGGAGCTTTTCAATTTTTGCATTTTTTGTTTTTTGCTCATGAAATAGATTGGAAACCGTGACCGAATTTGAGCCGTTTTGTTTTCTTAATAAAAGCAATTTTTACAACAAACGAGAAGAAGCCCGATCTCTTCATTTCTATTTGGACAAATAAATAACAATAATTCAATTTAAAATTTAATATTTTGATAATTATTTTTTAAGTTTTCAAATCTCTTAAATAATAAAAAAATGGATTTTAGGCACCTCATTTACAATTGAAAATGCCAGGAAAAAAGTTTTTCGGCAACAATATGGAGCCAAAATTAGTGGAGGCGCGGAGAGAGGCTTTGGATGATTTCATTCAAAAAGTGATGAACGACGAGCGACTCATGCACACGTAATTATATTTACACTTTGATGGATAATAAATAATTTTTGGCATTAAAAAATAAATCACTTTTAGTCGTGAGGTGCGAGACTTTTTCCAACTCGATCAAAAGCATGTAGAAGATTTGGTGACCTCGGAGGACCTCATGAGCACCGATGACTGTGATTCTGGCAAGGGCTCAACCAAGGGCAGCAATAGCAGTGGCGGAAGCTGCGAAATGGAAAAAGCTCCGACCCCTTTGAATTTGGGACCAACTGAGCGCCGACAGTGAGTTTCAAAAATTAATACCGTTGAAAAAATTTAATTTTGTATTTTTTCCAGTGTCAAACCGTCCCACTTTGAGTTTCTGAAGGTGATTGGAAAAGGTAGTTTCGGGAAAGTTCTGCTGGCCAAGCACAAGGAGGAGCAAACATTCCACGCAGTCAAAGTTTTGCAAAAGACTTTGATTGTGAAAAGGAACGAAACCAAGCACATCATGTCTGAGCGCAACGTCTTGCTGCAGAACATTAAGCACCCATTCCTAGTCGGTCTGCACTACAGTTTCCAAACCACAGACAAATTATACTTTGTTCTCGACTACATCAACGGAGGAGAGGTGAAAAATAATAATTTTTTTTAAATTTAATTATTTATTCAAAACTTGAATACCAGCTTTTCTTTCACCTTCAAAAAGAGAGAACGTTTTCTGAGTCGAGGGCCAGATTTTATTCGGCAGAAATTTCGTCCGCCTTGGGTTACCTGCACAGCCGGCAAATCATATACCGTGACCTGAAACCGGAAAACCTTCTTTTGGACAAGGATGGTCACGTGGTTCTGACCGATTTTGGTTTGTGCAAGGAGGGCCTTAGAGAATCAGACACAACAGACACATTTTGCGGAACGCCTGAGTATTTGGCACCCGAAGTTATAAAAAAATTGGTAAAAAGAAAAATTTTACCTTTTGTGTGATTTAATTAACGCTCAATTTATTGAATAGGCCTACGACCGATCAGTGGATTGGTGGTGTTTGGGAGCCGTCCTCTATGAAATGCTCTACGGCCTGCCTCCTTTCTACAGCAGAAATACTTCTGAAATGTATCACAACATTTTGCACAAGCCCTTAAAACTGCGCACCACTGTGTCGGACAATGCTAGGGACATTTTAGCCAGAGTAAGAATTTTATTTTTTTTTATTCTTAAGCAAAATCTAAAAAAAGAGAACTAGTTGTTGCAAAAAGAGCCGCAGAATAGGCTTGGAGGCGGCAAAGCCGACGTCCAAGACATCATCAAGCACCCGTTCTACAAAAGCATCAACTGGGATGATCTGCTTAACAAAAAAATCCCACCCCCATTCAACCCCAACGTGGTGAGATAAAATTTTTTCTTTCAAATATTCGGATTTTTACTGTATTTTTTATTCCAATTTAAGAAAGGGTCCATGGATCTGAAGAATATCGACCCCGAGTTTACCAAAGAGCCAGTGTCATCGTCGGTCGGGCGATCGCAGAATGGAGCTGTACTGTCCGCCAGTGTCAAAGAAGCAGACTCTGCTTTTGAAGGGTTTTCGTACGCACCACCCCTTGAAGAATTCTAAACCACGCCACGGAAACATCTAGCTCTCTATTACGCAGCGCCGCTCAAATTAAGTTAGCAAGTTAATCTTAATTGCTGATAAAATCTACCCACAAGGCTTGTTAACCCTTTATTAACATTTCCTTTTGTATTTATGTAACATTTTTTTTTAAACAGATACCAATGTGATGAGACCACTCAAAATTAAAAATTTGGTCAATTTTATTCTAACTCCAATGTTAAATTAAAAGTTACAAATGAATTCATCGCGCCATTTTTAAGTAAATCTAGTTAGTTCCTGTTGACTGTTCAAAAACTTAGGAATGACACTTTGATGAAAATGAATACCGAAGTCTGCAATTTTGTATTTTTAAGTTTTTAACCGATTTTGTATTGAAAGTTTGTAAATATTATACCTCATTTAAAAAGTCTTTATCTCAAAAGCACATCGCCTTGTGTTAAATTATTGTTAAATTAAATAATCCGTTTTCAATATTAAAACATTTCATATATTTTTATTTTAACTAATCCACTATATTAGTAACTCCAAAAACTGGTTAAAATATAGACTTTTTGATATAGTTGATCAAATAAGCATTAATTATCACAAGTTAGGAGAAATATATCAATTAACGCTAAAATTTATGCGGAAATTAATTTTAATCGATTTAGACCTGGAATTTGGAAATATCACAAAAACAGTGAGCCAAGCCTGGGTTTTGATATTATTCTGGTTTTTTAATTAAATAAAGTTTCATAGAATCAAGAGCCACAAATTTGAAACGGAGCTAGAATGTCTGGCTAGCAAATTAATTAAATTTAGCCGTAAAATAATTTTTTAATCAATTTAGACCTGGAATTTGGAAATATCACGAAAACAGTGAGCCAAGCCTGGGTTTTGATATTATTCTGGTTTTTTAATTATATAAAGTTTCATAGAATCAAGAGCCACAAATTTGAAACGGAGCTAGAATGTCTGGCTAGCAAATTAATTAAATTTAAGCGTAAAATAATTTTTTAATCAATTTAGACCTGGAATTTGGAAATATCACAAAAACAGTGAGCCAAGCCTGGTTTTTGATATTATTCTGGTTTTTTAATTAAATAAAGTTTCATAGAATCAAGAGCCACAAATTTGAAACGGAGCTAGAATGTCTGACTAGCAAATTAATTAAATTTAAGCGTAAAATAATTTTTTAATCAATTTAGACCTGGAATTTGGAAATATCACGAAAACAGTGAGCCAAGCCTGGGTTTTGATATTATTCTGGTTTTTTAATTAAATAAAGTTTCATAGAATCAAGAGCCACAAATTTGAAACGGAGCTAGAATGTCTGGCTAGCAAATTAATAAAATTTAAGCGGACAACAATTTTTAATCGATTTAGACCTCGAATTTGGAAATATCACAAAAACAGTGAGCCAAGCCTGTGGGTTTTGATATTATTCTGGTAATTTAATTGAATAAAGTTTCATAGAATCAAGAGCCACAAATTTGAATCGGAGCAAGATGTCTAGCTAGCAAATTAATAAATTTTAAGCGGACAACAATTTTTAATCGATTTAGACCTCGAATTTGGAAATATCACAAAAACAGTGAGCCAAGCCTGGGTTTTGATATTATTCTGGTATTTTAATTGAATAAAGTTTCATAGAATCAAGAGCCACAAATTTGAAACGGAGCTAGAATGTCTGACTAGCAAATTAATTAAATTTAAGCGTAAAATAATTTTTTAATCAATTTAGACCTGGAATTTGGAAATATCACGAAAACAGTGAGCCAAGCCTGGGTTTTGATATTATTCTGGTTTTTTAATTAAATAAAGTTTCATAGAATCAAGAGCCACAAATTTGAAACGGAGCTAGAATGTCTGACTAGCAAATTAATTAAATTTAAGCGTAAAATAATTTTTTAATCTATTTAGACCTGGAATTTGGAAATATCACGAAAACAGTGAGCCAAGCCTGGGTTTTGATATTATTCTGGTTTTTTAATTACATAAAGTTTCATAGAATCAAGAGCCACAAATTTGAAACGGAGCTAGAATGTCTGGCTAGCAAATTAATAAAATTTAAGCGTAAAATAATTTTTTAATCAATTTAGACCTGGAATTTGGAAATATCACGAAAACAGTGAGCCAAGCCTGGGTTTTGATATTATTCTGGTTTTTTAATTATATAAAGTTTCATAGAATCAAGAGCCACAAATTTGAAACGGAGCTAGAATGTCTGGCTAGCAAATTAATTAAATTTAAGCGTAAAATAATTTTTTAATCAATTTAGACCTGGAATTTGGAAATATCACGAAAACAGTGAGCCAAGCCTGGGTTTTGATATTATTCTGGTTTTTTAATTATATAAAGTTTCATAGAATCAAGAGCCACAAATTTGAAACGGAGCAAGAATGTCAGGCAATCAAATTAATAAAATTTAAGCGTAAAACATTTTTTAATCGATTTAGACCTGGAATTTGGAAATATCACAAAAACAGTGAGCCAAGCCTGGGTTTTGAAATTATTCTGGTTTTTTAATTAAATAAAGTTTCATAGAACCAAGAGCCACAAATTTGAAACGGAGCTAGAATGACTGGCTATCAAATTAATTAAATTTAAGCGTAAAACATTTTTTAATCGATTTAGACCTGGATTTTGGAAATATCACAAAAACAGTGAGCCAAGCCTGGGTTTTGATATTATTCTGGTTTTTTAATTAAATAAAGTTTCATAGAATCAAGAGCCACAAATTTGAAACGGAGCTAGAATGACTGGCTATCAAATTAATTAAATTTAAGCGTAAAACATTTTTTAATCGATTTAGACCTGGAATTTGGAAATATCACAAAAACAGTGAGCCAAGCCTGGGTTTTGAAATTATTCTGGTTTTTTAATTAAATAAAGTTTCATAGAATCAAGAGCCACAAATTTGAAACGGAGCTAGAATGACTGGCTATCAAATTAATTAAATTTAAGCGTAAAACATTTTTTAATGGATTTAGACCTGGAATTTGGAAATATCACAAAAACAGTGAGCCAAGCCTGGTTTTTGATATTATTCTGGTTTTTTAATTAAATAAAGTTTCATAGAATCAAGAGCCACAAATTTGAAACGGAGCTAGAATGTCTGGCTAGCAAATTAATTAAATTTAGCCGTAAAATAATTTTTTAATCAATTTAGACCTGGAATTTGGAAATATCACGAAAACAGTGAGCCAAGCCTGGGTTTTGATATTATTCTGGTTTTTTAATTATATAAAGTTTCATAGAATCAAGAGCCACAAATTTGAAACGGAGCTAGAATGTCTGGCTAGCAAATTAATTAAATTTAAGCGTCTGATTCTTTCTGTTTTCACATACCCCGCCCAAAGTTGAAGATATCGATATGAGATTTTCACCACTTCACCATCTTAGTTAGAAAGCGACTTTCCTAAATTTTTGACTAAAAATTTTCAAAATTGCGGGTTTTACGGGACATTTTGGAAAAACAAAAAAACGTGATTATCTCAGCTTCTAGTGGTCGTAGAACAATTTTCCGGGTACGGCTGAACTCGTCTTAGCAAGTTCTACAACTTTGCTGTTGAATGTAAAATTTTAGGTCAAAGGTCAAGGTCATTTTTGGTGACCTGAAATTTTCAAACTCAAATTTGAAAATGTGCTGCATGATGAAAATCATTTTTGAGATTGCCATTCGATTTATCATGAAATTTTACGTATTATATGTCAAAATTGCGATGTTGGTATTTTTAGTTTAATTTAAATAAAAATAAGAATATTAAAAAACGTGGTTTTTTGCACCTCGGCAGGCAGTGTCAACAATATAATCGTCTGTAACTTTTGTTCTGATGATTTTAGGTACAAAGTGGTTATGACCAAAGTTAATCTCCACGTCAAGACCAATCGATTGGTGTATATGTCAATGACCTTTAGTGACCTTGAGGTCAAAGGTCACCCAGGTCGGTGACCTGGGGTCACACGACCTAAATGTGTGATACGTACTTAGAAAGGTCTTGTCAAGAGGATAATTTTAGTCACCAAGTTTTTTACTTTACGTCTACTACAAATCGAATAATTATAATTTTTCCTAATTAAACGCAGAAGTTTCGGTAAAATTTATTGGATTTTAGAGATTACTCGCTTTGTGGTAGACGTATAGTAAAAAACTTAGTGACTAAAATTATTTTCTTGACAAGACCTTTCTAAGTACGTATCACACATTTAGGTCGTGTGACCCCAGGTCACCGACCTGGGTGACCTTTGACCCCAAGGTCACTAAAAGTCATTGACATATACACCAATCGATTGGTCTTGACGTGGAGATTAACTTTGGTCATAACCACTTTGTACCTAAAATCATCAGAACAAAAGTTACAGACGATTATATTGTTGACACTGCCTGCCGAGGTGCGAAAAACCACGTTTTTTAATATTCTTATTTTTATTTAAATTAAACTAAAAATATCAACATCGCAATTTTGACATATAATACGTAAAATTTCATGATAAATCGAATGGCAATCTCAAAAATGATTTTCATCATGCAGCACATTTTCAAATTTGAGTTTGAAAATTTCAGGTCACCAAAAATGACCTTGACCTTTGACCTAAAATTTTACATTCAACAGCAAAGTTGTAGAACTTGCTAAGTCGAGTTCAGCCGTACCCGGAAAATTGTTCTACGACCACTAGAAGCTGAGATAATCACGTTTTTTTTGTTTTTCCAAAATGTCCCGTAAAACCCGCAATTTTGAAAATTTTTTGTCAAAAATTTAGGAAAGTCGCTTTCTAACTAAGATGGTGAAGTGGTGAAAATCTCATATCGATATCTTCAACTTTGGGCGGGGTATGTGAAAACAGAAAGAATCAGACAAGCGTAAAATAATTTTTTAATCAATTTAGACCTGGAATTTGGAAATATCACAAAAACAGTGAGCCAAGCTTGGTTTTTGATATTATTCTGGTTTTTTAATTAAATAAAGTTTCATAGAATCAAGAGCCACAAATTTGAAACGGAGCTAGAATGTCTGGCTAGCAAATTAATTAAATTTAGCCGTAAAATAATTTTTTAATCAATTTAGACCTGGAATTTGGAAATATCACGAAAACAGTGAGCCAAGCCTGGGTTTTGATATTATTCTGGTTTATTAAATAAATAAAGTTTCATAAAATCAAGAGCCACAAATTTGAAACGGAGCTAGAATGTCAGGCAATCAAATTAATAAAATTTAAGCGTAAAACATTTTTTAATCGATTTAGACCTGGAATTTGGAAATATCACAAAAACAGTGAGCCAAGCCTGGGTTTTGATATTATTCTGGTTTATTAAATAAATAAAGTTTCATAAAATCAAGAGCCACAAATTTGATACGGAGCTAGAATGTCTGGCTAGCCATTTAATAAAATTTAAGCGTAAAACATTTTTTAATCGATTTAGACCTGGAATTTGAAAAAATAAAAAAAAAACAGTAAGCCAAGCCTAGGTTTTGATATTATTCTGGTTTTTTAATTAAATAATGTTCCAAAGAATCAAGAGCCTCAAATTTGAAACGGAGCAAGAATTTGTGGCTAGCAAATTAATAAAATTTAATCGGAAAACATTTTTAATCGATTTAGACCTGGAATTTGGAAATATCACAAAAACAGTTAGCCAAGCCTGGGTTTTGATATTATTCTGGTTTTTAATAAAATTTGGAGAAAAATCACTATTTCAAAGCGGCCTCTAATTATTTTATAAGAGTCCATCAGATATTAAATGTATTGAAGGTACTAAATCGTTCAAAAAGGCGTGACTCACGCCCGGACAGGGCCCACGGGCAGTCGGGCCCAACCCTGATGGGCCACGGCCCAATTTAACATTGGTCTTATGGGGAAAGTTAGAGTGCGCCGCCGAACTGGGCCGCGCTTCATTAATGATATCGCCCTGTTGGCTGCGGAGCCCCAGTCCGGCCTTGCGTGAGCATGAGCTTATACTAGTTTTCGAACTAATAAATGTTATATATTAAATCAAATCAAATTGTTCTATTGGTCCAAAAATTAAAACTGGCGGAAATTGAAGCTAATGACATAAACTTTCCAATGGTAGACTTTTTTTAATTTTTTCCAAAATAGTTTCTCCATTTGGCTATATTGTAAATTATATATTTAGTCGCCCCTGTAAAGTGTAAAGTATGCAATTGAATTTTTCCACAAAAATGTCTAAAAATAGTTAATGAGCTACATTTTTTCCTAAACCACGGACAAAATCCAAGGGATTCTTTTTTGAGAAAAATAGCTTTAAAAAATTAAAATGATATCAGTGAACTTGAGCTTTGACATAGAACATTTTGGTCGACAGGAAAGTTGTACAAAATAAAAAATTAACGCATAATTATGATGTAAACCAGATGTAAACCGCATTGCTATAAACTCAATAGGAGCAAAGATGTACGCAATTTTGTTTTAAAAAAAACCGGATTTTTAAAAAAAAAGTAGTAGAAGTGCTCGAAATTTTAAATCCAAAATTTAGTCAGAGACTCCTCTTATTTAACCATACGTGAAAACTGTGATGATTGCGGTAACACAAAAGTTTGCAACAATTTGGAGTCAAGAGTCAATTATTCATGATCCGTCCCGGCTAAAGTTTAATCATGTATAAATTAGAGTATGAAAATATTTTTATATAAATGTATAATTATTATCATATTCAAAAGTTTATTTTTAAGGACTCCTTATTGACATAGTCAAAGCAAGTCTTCACAACAATGGTGATTGAAATTTCCAATTGTCATTCAACAATCGCAAAAATCTGTTTATATTGTTGCAAGGACTGATTTGACTATGTCAATAAGAAGTCCTTAAAACCTATGCATGGTATAATGATTAAATATAAAGGCATTGTTGAATCTTTTTATAACAATGTAAACCCTCTACTAAAGTAAAAAGGTGAAAATATTCTAAGGAGCATTGTTGCAAAGTTTTCAAAGAACATAAAGAATTTCATCGAAAGCAAACATGAATCCTGAAAAGAAAGAAGGGCTTCTTAAGCAGGTCGAGTTTCTCAAACCATCCTTGGACTCGCAGATTCCTAAAATACTAGACAGGAGCATAACCGATTCCGAATTTGAGAAGCACTTGGCGGCGCTGAGTCCAGCGGTCAACTTGCTCAAAGTAGTTCTTGAGGAACTGGAGAGAATGAAGTCTGCACCCGCCATGATCACGCCGACCCTGAGCAGCTCCAGCGGCGCAAAAAGTACTTCAGGCGCACCTCAGACAACAAGTGCCGGCGCCACAGCACCCGCCGTGACCACGCCAGCCCTGAGCAGCTCCAGTGGCGCAAAAAGTTCTTCAGGCGCACCACAGACGACAAGTGCCACCACCACAGCACCCGCCGTGACCACGCCAGCCCTGAGCAGCTCCAGTGGCGCAAAAAGTACTTCAGGCGCACCACAGACGACAAGTGCCACCACCACAGCACCCGCCGTGACCACGCCAGCCCTGAGCAGCTCCAGTGGCGCAAAAAGTACTTCAGGCGCACCTCAGACAACAAGTGCCGGCGCCACAGCACCCGCCGTGACCACGCCAGCCCTGAGCAGCTCCAGTGGCGCAAAAAGTACTTCAGGCGCACCACAGACGACAAGTGCCACCACCACAGCACCCGCCGTGACCACGCCAGCCCTGAGCAGCTCCAGCGGCGCAAAAAGTACTTCAGGCGCACCACAGACGACAAGTGCCACCACCACAGCACCCGCCGTGACCACGCCAGCCCTGAGCAGCTCCAGCGGCGCAAAAAGTACTTCAGGCGCACCACAGACGACAAGTGCCACCACCACAGCACCCGCCGTGACCACGCCAGCCCTGAGCAGCTCCAGTGGCGCAAAAAGTACTTCAGGCGCACCTCAGACAACAAGTGCCGGCGCCACAGCACCCGCCGTGACCACGCCAGCCCTGAGCAGCTCCAGTGGCGCAAAAAGTACTTCAGGCGCACCACAGACGACAAGTGCCACCACCACAGCACCCGCCGTGACCACGCCAGCCCTGAGCAGCTCCAGCGGCGCAAAAAGTACTTCAGGCGCACCACAGACGACAAGTGCCACCACCACAGCACCCGCCGTGACCACGCCAGCCCTGAGCAGCTCCAGCGGCGCAAAAAGTACTTCAGGCGCACCACAGACGACAAGTGCCACCACCACAGCACCCGCCGTGACCACGCCAGCCCTGAGCAGCTCCAGCGGCGCAATAAGTACTTCAGGCGCTCCTCACCCTGGACTCCAAACCTCTGCAGCGACGCTTCCAGCGGATGATACTATTGAAATGGAAGTCGAAATTGCAAAGTAATTATTATTTTATATAGCACAGTGTGTTTTCTGCACACGTCACTACACCCTTAAGACTAACAGAATACAGAATTCCAATTTTTTTTTGAAAAGTCTAACAAATGAAATTTTTTTGAATCTGATCGAGTAAACAAAAAATATAATTAAATTATTTTTCAGGCAAAAGTTCTACATTCTTTCCACCGTATCAGACCAGAGCAAGCAGAGCGTCGAGAAAAAGGAATTTGAGGCCATCAGGAAGAAATTTTCTAATGATGAGGTTTACGTCACCTGTGCGGCCAATGGGCTCTCGAACAACTGGAAATGCGGCAAGTGATTTTCTTTAAATTTAATTTTCAATAAACAATTGAATATGTAAGAAAAGCGTGTATTTGCATGATATCACAAAATACGCAAAACTAAAAATATAATTTTTGTAGGTCAAAGTGCACGAGACCAACTGATGAAATTCGCCAAAGACAGCGAGGTGATATTTTTGGAAACCGTCAGCCAGGACGCCAAGCAGCTGGGTAAAATGGCAGATTTCTCAAACTCAATATACGGCAAGAAAATCTCAAGGTGTCAGTTTAAAGGCATTCCGTATTCTTTCCTTCTCGCATATGCTATCAGCAAGGAAATGCCTGTGAATTTTGAGACTAGTAAGGATAAAATTCATTTTATTGGTGAACATTTCCACCATCAAAAGTTGTTTCACAGGTAAGGCCGACTTGCTTTGCTTGGTGATTGAAGAGAAGGCGAGAATGTACGAGGATGAAGTCACCCAGCAGGCCTACCTGAATTATGCCAAAGCTCAAGTGTCAAAAATGACAAGCGACACCCTTGCATTGTTGGAGGAGAAATGGTTTGAGATCGAGAAAAAGGTTGACATATGAAGCACAATTTAAAAGAATTTTCTTAAAATTCTCATCTGAATTTTGTAATATTTTACAGACCCTCGAGGCGCAGAAGGAGCTCTCGGACAAGTTTACCCTTTTGGCCCTAAGGGAGTTGGAGGTGACAAAGAAGGAGCAATTGCTGAGGCATGCGATTTATGACGTCAAGCTGGAGCAGGCCAAGCAGCAAGAACAAAGCAGAAAGCGCCAAAGACAGCAAGAGATTGAGGAGTTTAATTGCCAGTCACGCCAGTGCAAAAGATTTCGCTAGAGGATGAACAATTTATGTTTATATTTATTTATTTTTATATGTTTATATTTATTTATTTTTATATGATTATATTTATGTTTGTATATATTTATATTTTATATTTTTATTGCGCTGTAAATATATTAGTAAATTTAGAGATTCGTACCACTCTTGTTCTGGAGGTGCCAAAGTTTCAAATGAATTCATCTCGCCATTTTTAAAGAAAATCTAGTGAGTTCCTGCTGACTGTTAAAATACTTAGGAATGACACTCGTTTAAAATGAATTTTGAAGTCTGCAATTTCGTACTCTTAAGTTTTTAACCGATTTTATATTTAAACCTCATATGAAAAGCCTTCATCTGAAAAAGCACAGCGCCTTGTGTTAAATTATTGTTAAATTAAATAATCCGTTTTTCAATAATAAAACGTTTAATATACTTTTATTTTAAAATATCCACTATCAGCAACTACAACGACTGGTTAACATTGAGACTTTTTGATATAGTTGATCAAATAATCATTAATTATCACAAGTTAGGGGTAAAAAATTAGTAATGGAATGAGAAGTTTTCAAAGGGAATGGGTAAAAAATGGGACCGGAAAACTTAAGTCGTTAACAAAAAAAAGGTTATTAGAAAAATAACATATAATACTTTAAAATCTAGTTTAAAGGGGCAACTTTTGAGAAAATAAATACGATCACTTGCTCTTTTCCGCGCATTCGAAATTCCAAAACCTTTGAATCAAGGCTCGTAAAATGCTTCCTGGCACTTGCTGGTGTCTTTTGACGAGATCCTCAATTGACGAGGCCACCTGAGCAAGTCTCAGTTTTATAAATTGCCAATTCGACAAGAAAAAAAAAATGAAAAAAGGAACAACTTAGCACTTACCTTATCTCTGATTTCCTCAGGCGATAGAGATTGGTCGTAAGGGATGGGCTTGCCGACAAATGTCTTCAATTTTACAGGAAAGCCACCATAAACGGGGACAATGGGCAGTTTGCACCACAGGTACAGCTTCAGCCAGTATTTCTTGCCCCAGCTGACGCTGCGGAATGCCTCACGCAGGTTTTGTGTGAAAATTGGAATGATTGGCTAGAACAATGAATTAACTTTTATTAACCAAGAGGAAAAATTAGCAGAGAGTATTTTTTCATGAAATTTACTTAAAAAATTTGAAAGAATCCTCATTGAATGGTTGTTGAGAGACAATTAAAAGTTGTTTTTTTTTAAAAAATACCTACCACTTTTGCTTCATGTGCTACTTTTGCAAAGCCAAGCCGCTTCCTCCACATGACATGATAAAAAGAGTCACCAAACTGAGCTTCGTAGACTCCTCCAGGCGCAATGGCTAACATGTTGTTATCTCTAAGTATGGCGGAGCACGTCTGCACCGTGCCCGGGATCACCTTCAGTGCTTCGGCAATTATAGGCCAACCTTTTCATTAACAGAGAAGCAGATGTAAAAAGACAAAAAATATTATCATGGCCGTCAATCTACCAGGAAGACTGAAGAGGAAATTATCGGCAACTGTGTGGATAAGTCTGTTCTTGAGAATTAAAGTCTTGGCGACGAAATAGTAAATGTCTATTGGAATTGCACCGTGGTAATACACTATCAAGGCAGGACTGTCCTCTGGCAAGTTTTCCAGTCCTTCGATTTCATATCCTTTAAAATTTAGAAAATTTCAATTGATTAATAAGTAATTTTTAAACAAATAATTCGTTACCATGCCACAACCAGCCATGGGCGTCCCAAATTGCAGCCACCGTGTATCTTGCTCCATCCCAAAAGTCTCGTTCGTAGGCGGCTCGAAGTCTTTGCCTGTATAAGTTTTAATTTTAGATCAATATAATGATTATAATTTAAGTTTCAAACCTGTGAAGTTTGTAAATGTACAAAATCAATGATGTCATGTAGAAGAGAACACCTATGGTCATTGGCAGGAGGAATGTAATGACTAAGGGCGTGAGCAGCCACCAGAGCCACAAATAAAAGTCCAAATCGATATATTGCACTGAAGATTCAATCAAAAATTATGCTTCATTACTTGTTTTGTTTTGTAAATAAACTCACCAATAATTCCTTCCACGTAGAGGGTGGCATTTTTGATAAGCTCCAACCGTTCCAGCATAATTAATTAAATATGCGCACACCAGCGTGTTTGGGCAACGACACCTTGGCTATCTACAAGAAAATATTAAATATGTATAAGTAAAAATGGGAAGCTTTCACATGATTATATTGTACAGTTTAGTGAGCAAAACAGAAAAGATAAAAAGTAGAAGGGATTTATTTGAGTGGAAAACAACGCACTTTCGTCAACACCATACCTATCACACAGCTTATGTGTACGTTATGTATTGCACAAGAGAAGTTGGAAAAAAAACGTTTTATATTATGATAATGCCGAGGGAAAAAATTAAATTTCTATCATCGCGATGGGCCATGATTAAATTGAGCGAAACGCATTCGAGTAACGTCGCACTTACCTGACCATCACATTTGCACCGATCGTACGACTGGTCAACGAAAGAAACTGCTTTATTTTTAGTCACAAGTTTCAATGACCCTGTCCCCTGCCCTTGTGTATGTTAAAACTTTGTTTTTCTGCAACAGCTGGTGCACGCAGCTCTGCAAGTGGGGTAAAAGAAAGGAGCTTGCACACTTTAATAGATATTTAATTATTACTGAGATAATTTAATCTTTTTTCAAGATTTTTAACTTATATTTTATAAATTATTAATGTAAATATTAAAAAATATGAAAATATTTCCACCAATCCACTCTTAATGCAAAGTCCGTAGAAATATATTGTTCTACTTTTCTTACACCCCTCTCACACACTTCCGCATTTTTCGGCAGTTCCCGGCGCTGAAAGCGGCAAAAGCGCCGATTGATTGTCGCAAAATTTTCCGCTTTTCCGACGCCGGCAGACCACACGGATCTTCTGGGATTGCGGACTTTTCCTCAGCTCGCTTCATTCACAGTCTGTGGTATCAAGCCCTTGGAAAAGCGTTGCGGAACCGAAATTCTCAAGGCCACCGACAGACGAGCTGTTTTTTACCGCCACAAGCGCCATTTTTTACGCAAGGCAGACGAGTGCGACGCTAAAATTCAAACCACCGGCCGACTTTTTGACACCCCAAACCGAATTTTGAGCACGATGAAGAGTCGCCTGCATGGCATAAACTTGGCTTTCCAGAAATATCAGTGAAAATGGTCAAAACAAGGCGCGGGGACGCGAGCCTGGATGATTCGGAAATGCCCGTCATTGACAACAACGCCAGACCGGATTCTGAAGAAGTGAGTTGTCATTTTATCTTTCTAGAATTTCTCCATCAAAATTTATTTTTTGTAGGAAGAGGAACCCATTTATGAAGCTCGGCGAAGTCGGCGGCAAAGAGCGACTCCAAGTCGCGATCTGGGCGAACGTCGGAGAGGTAAAGGATTAGAAACTTGCTGGAGACTTTTATTTTCAATCAAAAAGGCAGTCAAGCGTAAAATCAATTTTTTGTTTTGTATTGTTGTTTCCAAGACAGCTATTTTTGTTTGACAATTAAGTATTTTATCTTAAGAATTAATCAGAGTTGTAATAATCCCTTTTTTCTAATTATCTAGAGCGAGTGTTGAGACCGAGACGCTCTCGCTACGTCATAGTGAACAAAGTAGATCTTAGTGAGGACTCTGAAGATGACCACAGACTTGCCACTGAAGACAGAATCACGGAGGACTCGTCTCCAATTGTCCACCGCAAAGGAAAGCGGCAGCGACGAAAAATCATTTTGCACGAGACTGATCCCAGTTCGGCTGAAGAAGAGGATGGTGTTGAGCTTGCCCGAAGATCTCACCGACGTGTGAGGGGCCATAAGTATACACCTAGCAAGTCTTTCGCTCTTAGGAGCATATCCAATGGTGACTCTGGCCTGAGAAGAAGCGGACGCGAGCGCAAGTTAAGGTATTAATCTAAATTTTCATTCATGGTTTCAACCAGTTTCAATGTTCTGATTTCAGAAACTATTTTTTTTTTCATGGAGGAATTTCCATGTAAATTTGATAAATTAAGTCCATCTAAAATCTCCCATTATTAAAACATTGAGAATCAATAGAAACAAAATTTCCATTTAAATCAAAATTTATTCAAAGTAATTGTTTTGCTATCGTCTGGAAGATTAAGAATTAAAATATTACCTTTCCTGCACAATTTTTAAGAAAAATTTCTCCTCAATTATCTTTACATCGATATTCACCACCTTCATTTTTTTTAGATACTCATCATTCAATGATTCCTGGATCATCGAGGGACAGGTTGAAAGCAGCTACCATCGCAGGCTGCGGCATGATGACTCAGAAGTTCGAGCCCACTGCGCTGTACGAAGGAGAGCAAGAATCAAGCATGACGGTGATGTGGAGGAAGAAGACGAAGAGGAGGAAGTTATTGCTAAAGTGGACCCAGCTCCAAGGAGGTCAAGACGAGTTCAGGTTAAGACTGAGTTGGGAGATAGTTATGCTGCAGATGATATTGAAAAGCCTGAGGAAGATGCTGAAAAAGAAGAAGAAACTGTTGATATGATTGAAGAAGATGACAAGGATGACAATGAGAATGCTGAGAAAAAAGGAGGTGATGAGGTAGGTTTGCTTAAGGGTTCATTATTGGCATAGGCGGGATACATTTTTAAAACATAGTATCTAATCTTCTTCCAATAATTGCAAAAAATTGGCTTATTGTTGCAAGGGCTTGATTTAAATATGTTCTGGAGACGTGTATTTGATGATAAAAAATATTCCTCTGCAGGACATGTACACAAGAGTGAAGCAAAAACGGAGGACTAGACAGCTACAGACTGCAAGCTACGAGGTCCGACAACTGAGGGGTGATAAACGAAACATAAGTAAGAAAATTTCTAGTAAAAAGGTTTTTATGCTAATCTTGACTTTGATAATTAGTCACAAGTGGTGATGAGTCTGGCAGCTCAGATGACAACGACAGGCCACCATCTCCCAGGAAAGGTTACCATCTGAGGCAAAGACGACCTCCACCTCCAATATTCCAAATGCAAGGTATGTCTTTTCTTTGTTTTGGAAATGAGCAGATTTTTCTCATTTGTCTATAATTTTGTCTTAAATGCCTGATAGTGTGGAAATAGCGCATCTTTTAAATAATTTTCATTGAACAATTCCTTGCTTTAAAAAGCTGCTTAAAATGTGGAATTTTTATTTATGAGAAGCATATTTGTGTTGTTACCGAGCATTTCACATATGCCAAATAAGAGATCAAGCAACAATCAAATTGTGTTCCATCGTAGCAATTATGAAAAGTTTAAATTATTTATTTATTCAGTAATGATTTTATCCTAGAGCCAAGTCGCAGATCTGCCAGGAAAATGAACCGCAGCCGATATGGAAAAGCCAGTTCTACATCCTCCTCGTCAGACTCTGAATACAAGATGAAAAAAAGCAGAAAGTAATGGCTAAAGATCCCTGATCAAATGTTCAAGTTATTGATTTTTCTGTTCATTGTTTAGCCGATGTGTGTCTGTTAACTTTTCGAAAGACAAGTCGAGGGGTGACAAAAAGAAAATTCTGGCAGACACTGACCCAATGGAGATTAATCCTGACATCAGGTTCACAAGTGTCGGAGGGCTGCACGATCATGTGAACGCTTTGAAAGAAATGGTGGTCTTCCCCATGCTGTACAGTGAGGTGTTTGACAAATACAGTGTCACTCCACCTAAAGGAGTCCTTTTCCACGGACCTCCTGGTAATAGAAAAATTATAAATCTTATGCAAAATGTTAATATTTTTTTTTTACTTAGGCACTGGTAAAACGCTACTTGCACGAGCGCTTGCTAACGAGTGCAGCCAGGGTAGCTCCAAAGTAACATTTTACATGAGGAAGGGTGCTGACTGTTTGAACAAGTGGGTTGGTGAGTCTGAACGGCAGTTGCGGCATCTTTTTGAACAGGTTTGTTTAGCAAAGTTAAAAGACGGTTTTAAAATTTGTAATATAAAAATAAATTTTGATGAATTCAGGCCTACGAGAATCGTCCGTCTATTATTTTCTTTGATGAACTTGACGGCCTTGCTCCTGTGCGCTCTCACAAGCAGGATCAAATACATGCATCAATTGTGTCAACACTTCTTGCACTCATGGATGGACTGAAAGACAGGCGTGAAATTATCGTCATTGGTGCTACCAATCGAATTGATTCTATTGACCCTGCTCTTCGCCGACCAGGCAGATTTGATCGAGAGCTCTTCTTCCCTCTGCCAGCTGTGAAGGTCAGCAAACTATTTTCTGTACTCTTTCAGGTAATTTTTGATAATTTTTTGTGTGTGTGCGTGAACATCAGGAACGTGAAGAAATCCTGCGTATTCACACATCCAAGTGGGAGCAGAACCCAACGCCTGAGCTCATCACAACCCTTGCCCAGTCCTGCGATGGATTTTGTGGCGCTGACTTAAAAGCGCTGTGCACAGAGGCTGTGCTGCAAAGTCTGCGTCGCCGATACCCTCAGATCTACAAGTCCTCCAGCAAACTCCTTCTTGACACGGAACAAGTTCAAGTAACCAAAGAAGACTTTATGCGAGCCAAAGTTGGCATTGTGCCAGCTGCCCAGAGGATGTCCAAGTGCCCTGGGAGGAAGCTTCCTCAGTTTGTTAGCAACTTGCTTCGTCCTGAGCTGGAACGAGCTATAAGCTTCCTGGCAAAACAGTTTCCTCACGTCAACATGGTGTCTGCGACAGAGTAAGTGATCAATTCAAAAGACTTAAAACTCAAATTAAAGATTTTTAGCGATTTTTTTTTCTCAAATCGCAAATATTTATCTCCCTTTTGACTAAATTGTTATTGAATTGAAACAATCTACCATTGTTCAGTTGCAAACTGCTTCCTGCCAATGTGCCGAATCCTCGTCTCCTTATCACTGGAAACAAGCACCAGCCCCAGAGCAACCACATTGCCCCAGCCATTCTGCAACGCATGGAGCACGTTACTGTGCATTCTCTTGAGATGAGCAGTCTTTTCGGCAGTCCAGGCGCGACCGGCGAGGAAGTTTGCATCAACCTCTTCAGGGAAGCCCATCGCCAACTTCCAGCTGTGATCTACATCCCCAACATTGACAGATGGTGGCACCGAGTGTCTGATACTGTCAAGGACCTATTCTTGGAAAAACTCGATAGCATCGAGCCAACCACTGCCATTCTAATTCTAGCAACTGCTAATTGTGTGCTGGATTGCGACGATATGCCAGAGGAGGTAAATTAATGTTAAACTATTACACATTTGGATCTGATTTGGATCATAACATGAATACAAGTTAAAAAAAATTTTTGTGAAAATGTCAGATATTATCAACCGTGCATCTATTATACATATTATTTTTTAGGTCCAAGAAATCTTTAGCCCTTTTAGAGAAGAAGTCTTTGAGATGGAAAATCCTGGAGAAGAGGAGAGAAAACAATTTTTCTCTCCCTTGTTCACTGAGAAACCTTACGAACTTCCGCCAGCTACAAAAGACGAGAAGGGTAATAAAATAATTTTATAATCAAGAACATACTAAACAATGATTCTTAAATTTCTGTGTTAGATGCTGAGTTGGAAGTGCTGCCATTGGCGCCCCCACCAGAGCCAAAGAAGTTGACTGAGAAGGAGGAAGAGACGCTCCGGAAAACTGAGGAGCACTCTCTCCGAGAGTTGCGGATATTTCTGCGCCAAACTCTTGACAAGTTGTGCCGCATGAAAAGGTGCTTGTGTTGGTTTATGAAAGGTTTATCCCTGAATAATGATGGTTAATTTTTGCAGTTTCTCCATATTCATGAATCCAGTGGACGAGGAAGAAGCACCAGACTACTACGACATTATAAAAAACCCAATGGACCTGAGCACAATCAGAGAAAATATCGACAAACATTTGTACAATTCTGCTGAAGACTTTCTCAAAGACGTAGACTTAATCAGTCAAAACTGCTTGGAATACAACTCGGATAGGAACCTGCGAGCTGTGGCAAACAACTTCAGCGATTCTGTGAAGGCCATAATAAAGGCTGAGATGGACACAGACTTCGAGGAGGAGTGCAAGAAGATTTCAGAAGCACGCAAGAAAAGAAAGTTTAACCCTCAAAAGCATTTGCTCAACTACAGCTTTGTTGCCCCTGAAAAAAGCAAGCCAAACAGAGACAAGACTGAAGGGGAAAATACAGGTTTGATGCTTATTAAAACCAGTGTTTTCCGGCAAAATTAATTCTTTAAATTTAGATGTTCCTGTTGAACAAATCTCCCTACCCAATGGAAATGCTGACAGCAAAGAAGGTTTTTATTCAATATAAGTTGCCTTTCTCCGTCTTTATTCTATATTATTCAGTTGTTGAGCCATCATCACCTCAAAAGTCGACGAGCACCCCACAAACTCCAGAGACCCGACATACGGCCAAGAAGAGGAAGAGCAAATGGTCGTCGGGCGTGATCAATAAGAACAAGAAGAAGAAAGCCGAGAGCAAGGACCAGGCAAACGAATCTCTCAATTTGGAGAATGATACAAGTCTGCTAGATATTTCAATGACCTCTACCAGCAGTAAAATTTCCCCTGTCAAAACCCCTGGCAAAGGCAGTTCCCCTCGTCTGTCTGCTTCAAAGGTACTAAAATTTATCATCTACTGAGTAATGCTGATTTAAGACTTGATTCTAATCCCCGCAGGAATGCCCGGTGATGACTGAAACCAAGGAAGTTGTGGAGAGCATCATAAGCGCCACAGAGGAAGCTGCCACCAAGGCTGCCGAGGAAGATGAAAAAGTGCTCAAGGTCAACAAGGAAATGCTAGACAAGCTGCTGGAGCAAACTCTGCAGATCACAGAGGACGTGCCATTTGCACTTCTCTTAGACCTCCACAGCCAAATCAACAAGATTGTGCAAAAGTACTCTACTCTGTTCGACCGAACAAATCTGCACAAGGTTTGAATACTTTTTCAACGTGTGGTTCTTTGATTAATTTTTTTTTCTGTACAGGACATTGATGTCGTTCTAAAAAAATTCAACTCGGTGATCAGCAAACTGCAATGAAGAAAGATAATAATGAACCTCTCTATTAATTCTCAGGAACGTTATAGATGAAAACGCTGGACTTACTATTTCAATTTTGCAGATCGTTGCCTTGAATGAAGTCTATTTTTTAATATTATATGTATCTGGCTTATCACACTTTTAAGTTTTCCTAGCCATGTGGATAAGAATGTGTACACAATTTTGGCTACGGAAAGTCCATTCACTGTATCATGATAAGCAGCCGTCACTTGAACGGTTCATTTCAAATAATTTCTGTTCTTAGCAATATACACTTAAAATCAAACCAATACTTAGCCAGTGCTTCTCAACATTATGAATAATTTTGTTCATTTTTTCCAATAAAAAAAAATCAAAATAAAGCAATTGTTTTAATTAGCCATTTAAAATATATATATAAATTGAAAAAAAAAAATTTTTGTAATAATTTTTTTTAGCAACAATTATAAAAAATATCATATAATTATACATACATAAAACAAAATGGTATTGAATTTTTTTTACATTGGAAATTACATGTTTTTACATAAATGATCCAAATAGGAATTTTTACTCAGAATAGACAAGATTCAGCAACACCGAACAAAAGGGGGTGTGTCCGAGTCACGAATGTTTTGATCGGTCGCTGTTGTGAGCTCTGTTTTTGAGTCTTGAAATTGGGTGCCAGCAAAATTCCTCTTGCAGAGTTTTTTCTTAGACAATTGCATAAATTATTTAACCTCTTAAGGATGCTGCAGCCATCTATGTTTCAGGTTTGCTAAAAATATTAATGCATACATAAATTCTTATACATACACATAATGTAATTGTAATAGCAAGTTTTTGTTTTCTTATTCATGCATTTGTGTAAAATTTCAGTTCTTTTATTTTTAATACGTAATTTACATTTCACAGCGTACACTTTCAAGTCTTTTAAGGCTGCAAAGTGTAGGATGTATCTGTAGAAGGAGTAACACAAATTACACCGTCGGAGGCCTCTGGGAACCAGAGTATTTGGAGGTACAAAAATTACATCATACACACATCGCCAAATCTTCCTGATGCACTGAAAAATAAAAATATTTTCTGAATGAAAATTGCAGGCAATGAAGTCAAAAATTCCCTTGTATGATGCAGTCAACATTCAGCTCAAGGGCTATGACTATCCTGTGTTGGAGAGTTACCAAAAGCTTCTCCACAATCTTCTTTCGAATATGGACCTTGACGTGGAAGACTGGTGAGGAACACAAATTATAGCACATAAGAGTTCAACAAAATTTTAATTCATTATTTATAAACTATAGCTGGGCTACCCCACCTAAAAAGCTGAAGATCAACACTTTCAAGCCCAACAGTTCTGTTGTGGATAAAGAATTCAAGCTGAATATATACGAGAGAAATGTCCAGGTAAATTGATCTTCATTTTGTGAAAATTGAATCATAATTTATAATTTAGCCTGAAATTTAAATGCTGAATCACAATTGATTTTTACAGATTGTCGACGTTCCGGCCACCATTTATCCCATTCTACTATCTGCACTTACATCGTCTGTGCCGGAAGGAGTGACGGTTTCAGTGCACGAGCACGAGCCCGATCATGAGGAGATCAGGTACATTCCTGATCTGGAGCTCAAAGATTTGAAGGATCAACTCCACGTCCTTGGAGGCCCAACAGTTAAGAGGGATCCAAGGAGGAAGCGCTAGGTTTTTTTTTCAATTTATAATGAGGTAGTTTAATGAATTTGAAAATGCTGGAAAGAAATGCTGCGTTTGATTTGTTTCAGTCAGTGTATTTTAGCTGTGTATAGTATATATGAGAAATAATTTAAATAGTTTTAAGTTTTTACAATTATCAATAGGAATAAGAGCACGATGACAGTGATGGCCATAATCAAAATGCATTTCATCTTGCGGTTGCTTCGTTGGTATCGCTCCGCCTTTTGCAACTGCTTAAAGCCTTGCGTCACTTGTTCCTGTGTCCTCTCCACATTATAATCAATCCGATCAAGCACGGTGCCCTAAAAATAAAATTAGATTTAAAATCAAATTAATTTGAGACGTACAGAAAAGTTGAGCAAATACACATTATTTTTAACTCGTCTAAAATTTTATATAAAAATCAAGTGATTTTTTTATTACCTGGTCGACAACCATGTGTGCCAGGTCCTTGAAAATGGAGTTAAGATCTATGATGCTGGACACAATTTTCCGGACTTCCTCTTCCCGCTGCTCCGCCAGAGCCGTGTTGTCCGCCAGCACCAGAAGCTGCTGACTGGTTACGGCGTTGGTGCCAGGCGGCAGCCCGAAGAGGACGTCCTCGGCACTAGGCTGCTCGTGCGCATCCATGTCCTCGGGCAGCATCAAGTACTGCTTCGACCGCTCCTCTCTCGAATTTAATTCTGCCACAAATAATGATATTAAAACCAAATGACTTTTGAATATGTCTCGTTGGGTTACTTCGCAAGTAATTGCCTTGACTCTCTCGGAATTTGTTGGACAGCTCTTGCATGGAAGTGACTAGAGATGAGACGACGTTGTAGGAAAGTCTCTTTTCTTTGTTGTGGCGTGACTCGGACACACTGTTTCGTCTGATTTGTTGGATGATTTTGTGCGAATTTCCAAACATCTGAAATTGTTTTAAAAAAAATCTTGTTAGATTTGCAATAAAAAAAATAATAATAACTCTCCGGTGGGAAACATAAAATTAAATTTACCCTAGCAATTTCTTTGTTGAGGGCGTCAATTTGGTGTTCCTCTTCAGACGAGTCATCCATCGTGGGACGGTGAAGGTGTCTTGTGTGTAGAGCATCCAGTTCCCTGAGTTTGCCCTGGATTTTGCTCAGGGCAAACTGCGCCTCCTCCAGACTGTCAACCCAGGACGGTGGCTCGTTTGCGTCTTCATCACCAGAGCCTCCAGCTCGCAAGAGGTGCACCCCAGCCTCAAGGTCAGGATTCATCAGGGACACTCGCTCAGAAAATCTCTGAAATTCAATATAAAAATTTTAGTTGCAAAATATTGAACAAAAACATAATTTTTAATTTAGACATCCTGAACAAGATTAAAAAATTTTCTTCAAAAAATTGTTTAATTTGTGATTTGATTTTATCCTATAATTTATAAAATTAATATAAGCTTTAGGAAATTGAAATATATGTATGATAAGAAAATCTATTAATTTTAACTAGACAAGATGATCGAGGAAGAAGAATTTAATTTTGTCATTTTCATATTTATACAATTTTTGTTGCTTCTTTTCTTTTTTATTGCAAAAATTATTATAGACAGGTGTTTGAAGATAAAATTTTTAATAATTTTGCAACGATCTACAATTTTATTCCTATCAAACAAAAACACTCAAAGAATAAGTAAACAGGAGGGTTGATTAAATAGGGGTCGTCGAATTCCCACCTGTTCCGAGTAAATGTGCCTGCTCTGGGTGGAGTTGTTCCTCATCAGGACGAACACGTCCGTAAGACTTCGAGTTGCCATTTTTCCCGATGCGTCCGACTCTTTTCAGGGCTTCCAGGTTAATTAGCTCATGATTCGGGATGTAAATTTGACATTTTCGTAAAAAAAATACACCGACGTCACAAAAGGCAGGCAAAGTGCAGCAGGGCCAGCAGGGGTGTCACTCAAAAGACAAAAGCATATCACTCGGCGCACGAAACGAAACTGCCACGCCCACATTTGGAGACGCTTTGAGCAAAAATTTGTAAACAAATAATACAATCAACAAGATCAGTCAATTTTCACTAAGATTTCTGTAAGTATGATCAATTAGAAGTTAAGACTTTGCTAAAATAATAATTAAAGTTCTAATTTTTCTTTAAATTTCAACATAATGTGTAAAATTCTAGAAAAAAAGTTACAGGAAATCAATTTCAGATTTGTTAATTTTCTATGTATGTATTTTTCTAAAATTTCAAGTATTTCTGAGACGAAAATGGGCGAGCGCTACAACATCCACAGTCAATTGGAGCACCTGCAGTCCAAATACATCGGCACCGGACATGCAGACACGACCAAGTTCGAGTGGATGGTCAACCAGCATCGCGACTCGTACTCGTCGTACATCGGTCACCACGACCTGCTGAACTTCTTTTCCATCACGGAGAACGAGACCAAAGCTAGGATGAAGTTCCAGCTCATGGAGAAAATGCTGCAGCCGTGCGGACCCCCTCCGGAGAAGCCAGAGGACTAAAATGTGATTTTCAATTATTTACCTGCTGCGTGTGTTGATCAGAAATTAAATATTAAGTTCTTGTAAATTACGCATTATTAATTTTAACACTTTTTATTTATTTGTAAAACACTACTTGGCACAGTTATAAGAAAATAAGAAACGAAGTTTCCAATTTGCTTCTACTCGAAGCTTGTTTCTCAGCAACTTTCAGTCTGCGCTTTAAATTTGTATTATTTTTTTTCCGACATGAAAGTAATTTTTCTCTAATGGAGTTATTTTAGTCTTGGGCATTACTTTATTTAGGTTAATAATACAATAATATAAAATGTACAAGAAGACACATTTTTATGTTTGTCCTAATTATTTTCTTTTTATTTGCAACATTATAATAATTGGAATGAACATAATTAGTTTTTAAGAAGTCTCAGGGTCCGGCCCAGATAAAAATAGAATTAACTCTTCGGTAGATAACATCGCCACGATCAATACTTAGTTTTACAGGTACTCACTGAGAGTAAACATCTAAAAAGTAATCAGAATCAGCCAGTTTTCAAACATCGCGTCCAAATCGTTTGCATTCGACCTGGAATTCCAACTTCACAGTCTTTAACACATATTCGGTGCTTTTAATAGTTTTCTCACAGTTCTTGAAAAATGAGCTACTCGCTATTTAACAACCTTTTCGAGTGAGTGCAGTTAAATATTTCATCATTAAATTATATAATATATAACATTATCAACTCTCTCCTACTAAAAAAGTAGAAATCCTTGTACAAACAATGCTTGTGCGTGTACGAACTAGACCATTTTAATATAAAAAGCCACACGCACATGTCAATCAATCGATCAAATTCATTAATTTGAACAATCACATTGTAAGAAAAGAGGATTACTTTGTGAAGAATAAAAAAAAATCATCATCCTCAGTTAATTTCTTTATCGACGGCACTTGAGGCAGTGAGCTCGGGTCAGACGTCCACAGTCTCCTCAGCGGTGTCATTGGCTTCAGACGTCATCTGCTTGTGAATGTGACTGGTAAATGCGAGTGCACCTCCGTGCACGAAGCGAACCAAATTGTCCCCGGCCAGGGATCCAATGGCGTACAGACCAGGCGCCGAGGAACACTCGTAGCTGAATGGATCGATGTGGACAGGGTTCGACCGACTGGCCACTGGGAGGTCCTTCAGTACGCCCAGACCGGCACCTGCCATCGGCATGAAGTCCAGGTCAGGTTGTGCGCCGAGCAAGGCCACAACTGCCGAAACTTTGATAACATAGCATGCTGAGCTGCCATTGTCTCCTGGACCCATTAATCTCACCTGCAAAGTCAGATTGAAATTAAAAAAAATCAATATTTAAATTTTTTTCAAATTTAGATTGAATAAGAATTATTTAAATTTATGCAGATCTTTTAATTTGAAATTGCAAATAAATCTTTGGTGTTGTACAGGTTGCATAACTTGTAAATTTCAGTTAAAAATTATACCTTGTTGTCTGGCCTGATTTCAATGATCTTGTGCTCGGGCAGCGACCTGTAGTTCTTGTAGCTCTTTCCACCGTCGGTCATCATCTGGTGCACTTTGTGGTACTCAGGGTACATGTTCTCAGGTAGCTGCTTGAACACAAAACCAGGGTCGCCTGAAGACCTTCTGAAGGCGTGCAACACGGGCAAACCGTGGAAGCGGCAAGAGATGATGGCGTCGGCTGCGCTTAACCCTGCGCCCACGACCAGGACGGGATCGGAGTGCTCGCCGAGCTTTCCCTGCTTCACCATTCGCTCGATGTCCAGCAAGGAGTATACAACAAAGGGCTCAGAGTCCCCAGGAACCTGAAAAATCAAATTGGAACATTAATTTATGTGGCGATATTACCAATTTTAAATTTATAAATTATTAATTAAATAATCAATAAAAAGTCAATTTAATTTACATATCAAATTTTATGTAAATATTAACGATATTAATAAGAACCTGCCTTGAGTTTGTTGGGACGATCGCAATTCCCAGTTGCCAGGACGAGATGCGATGTGACGTAGTTAAAGGGCAGGTCGGGGGCGCCCTCGTCCCCTGCCTGCTCCACCCCTGAGATGAGCCACTGGTTGTCAGGCAATGGCGTCACCCTGGTGACGATGGTGCCACACCGAAAGTTGGACTGGAGGTGTCGCAATTTGACGTAGTCGCTGTAGTACTTGGCCAAAGAGGCCACTGAGGCGCGCGAGTCTCTGCAAATGGGCGGCCCGCCACCCCCAAAGCACCGAAAGTCCAGGCCGGGCAGCTCCATCCAGCGGGAAAGACTGATTGTCAAGACACTGCCGTCCATAGTCTGAAAATTTGGAATATTTTAATAATTAAAACGTAAGATTTTTTTTTAATAATTTGTCTAGTAAAAATTATTTTAAAAATTCTTTTGTATTAATGTCTAACAGTTTTCTTTAATTAATTGATTTATTCTAGCTGATAATTTTGACTAAAACTGGAGTTTATAATTAATACTAAAAAAGTAATAAATTGTTATTAAAAAAATGAAATAAAAATAATTTATCAAATTAAACATGCAATGAAATCAGGGCTTCTTAAAGCAACTGATCGAATTAATTTGAAGCTGTATAGACTCTAAAGTGGTTCAAACAGAAAAGCAGGTTATTTTTTCCGTTTGCCTTTCATAGGGAGTGGGCAGAGAGAACAAGATAAATTACCTGCCACGAGCCACCAGGTGGTCCCTTGCCCAGCACTACGTGATCCACGTACTTGTCTGGGTGGTACTGCCACCCTAGCAAGGGTTCACTGTCCACGCCAAGGTCTGCGCACGGCAGGTTCAGGCAGTCGAAGAGCAGCGAAACAGCGTTATTCGAACGCCCTTCTAATCCCTGCAATGATTTTCATCAATAATTAATAAAATTAATAGCCAAAAAATGTACAAATCTACCTGAGATAGAAATTGCAAGTCTTGTTCTACGATTGAAAGACCCTGAGGTTCCATTGCCAGTCTGGCGGTCAAATCTTCATCAGTCGGATGTGGCTGACCGTTGTAGTACGGCCAGTTGCCGTTGAGCATGTGAGATAAAGCGATTCCGCTTGGTCCATTACCTGTTTCAAACGATTAAAACCAATATTATAAAAAAGAAAAAGTCTTTTTCATGACTAATAAAAAGTGGAATTAACCATTTGTTTCAGAATTGGTTTGTAAATAAAGATACAATAAAGAGAACATCAGAAAATTGAAAAAATTTACAATGAATAAATATAATATTTAATTTTTTTTTTATTGAAGTCGTTGGAAATAATTTTAAATTACTATTTTCAGGGGTCGCTCTGACCTATCCAAACAAGCTTTTCTCTCTATTATTAAATAAATCTTGGCCCGTCTTTAAAGGACTGTCTATTTAAAACTCTGAACACAATCTATACCATTTATCATTGTTGTTTTTGTCTTTCAGGTTTGTTGTGACTGGGGTTGAGAGGATCGGCGTTGAGAGGATCACACCGCATATAATATAATAACGTGCAAAGAGTCTTACCGACGATGACGACTTGTTTGTGCACCGTGCCTTGTGGTAGTCCCGCGTGCTGCGCCGCTGCAGTGGCGAACGTGCCCTTTGGAGCTCTCATAATTACTCTCGGCCCGCGGAGTGGAGAAGAAGAAAAGTCTGAAACACGCCAATCAATCGCGGTCAAAAGACTGATAAAGAGGCTCGCTCGCGCCGCCGCTTATATAAGCGTGGATGACGTGATGCGCGCGAAACGCCAACTCGCTCTTCATTGTCAATTTTATCTTTCCCTACAATTTATCTTTCGTCGTTATCAGACAAAAAATGCGCCTGCCCTCTTGGGGCACGAACTATATAAACGACTTTGATCCCCAAGATTGGTTCGCGGAATAGGTCGAAAAAGAAGACTAGGTTATCTTGACACGAAGAGCTTATTAATAAAATTGCGATTCAATCAGAGGTGGAATTTTATCATAATTTGAATGAGTTCAAAAATCGAGAGAATTAAGATTTAAATAACTGTATTCTGGTACTTTATATTTCTCTATTTGTAAACGTTGTAAATAGTCACATATTTTATTTACAAAGCAATATCTCAAGTTTGTAAATAATGAAATAATGATCAATAATGATTGTTGTAAAGCGCTGAGTATGACTTCTTGAGGTGAAGTAACGGCTAATGAATGGTAAAGTGTACTAGATTAAAACTATTTTTCAATCATCATTAAAATAATTCACTCTGTAAAGGAAACTAATTTCAATTGGGCTAATCATTAGTCTGTTATTAGGAAAGCATTTTAATTTAAAAAAATATTATAATATATAGTTTATAAATATCCATTTTTTTTTTTAATTTAAAAAATAATTAATTTTTTATCACATTTCTGTAGGAACACTTTGTTGTGACGAAGTATTGCAAATTTATGTCCTTCATTAAGTTCAGGACTCCTTTTTAAGTCAACACAATTGTCAATAAATAATCTCAATTTGAAACTAGTTTTTTTGAGTAGTGAGAAAAATAATGTTTTAGAACTGAATTATTATTATTTTACTTGGTTAAAACAACTTACAGATTCTTTGAACTTTACATGCAGAAATTACACCGAAGAGAGAACAATTGCTTTAGGTCGTTGCTTGATGGCTTCCCTGCTTGAACAGTGAACGAGCCATCGTTCGGCTGGCTCGTGCCCATCCATCTATGCAACGAGGGTCATGCGCTGCTTTGCTTCTCGGCGGCGTTCAGAACAGAGAAAGTGGAAAGGCCTTGGATGCAGGCTCTGGTATTATTTATTTGTTTTGAATCAGACAAAAAAAAGCAAAAGTCGTTTCCTTGGTGCGTCTCCCGCGACCGCTGTTCCGCTCGGCAGTTGAAGTTTGGGATTTTGAATTGCGTCACTTTTCCGGTCTGAATTTCAACCAAGGAGACAAACTGATTGTGAAAAAAAAATAGATCAGACGCCGTTAAGATGGAAACAAGGCTTTTCCAGTGTAATAATTATGAGGCATTGCATCTCCTTTTTAAGTGTGCGAGACTTTTATGGAATAAACGAGCGAGCAATTTTGCTGCACTCGGATTGCATGAAGCTCTGCCTATAATATAATTTACAGGAGCACACGCGTGCGACTTGAGTAAATTTCTTATATCGAATGTATACCATTTTATTAGTTACAAAACATTTTAATCCAGAAATTAAATTGAAGTAAATTAAATCATGAATCTGAAGGTTTAAAATATATTTTAATATAAAAATTAAAAAAAAACAGATTCCGCTTAATTAAATTATTTGTCCTTACGATATACCAATAAAATTGAAAAATTGTACGATTATAAAAACAAATTAAGTGTAAACCTTATTTTAACATGCTTTTGTTGCTATAATCCTTCTCCTGTTATGGTTTAAAGCCGGAAAGGACGACAAGGAAAAAGTGGAAGAAAATAATGGAGGTCATAAATAAAGTCATTATGATGGCTGCGATAAAAAGTCTGACTCAAGGGTCAATGGCAGAGGCAGCGAATGGCCAACCTAATTGACCGTGGAATATAAGTCAAGCGTGCTTAGCTTTGGTCGAAGGCGCAAAATAAAAGTTGGTCCAGCGGCGGCGAGAGTGTTTCTCTGTTTTGCGCAAAGTGACATCACTGCTCGCAAGATTTGGCACCGAGACAAAGACAGGGGGCTCGTTTGCGCCGCGACCAGATTGGTCCACGCAGACCTCGGCTGATCAACATAGACCGAATTGCACACGCGGAGTACGCTAATTAAGGGTGCTACTTTTTCGAGCTAATTCAAAGCGCAAACTAATTGTACGGATCCGAATGATTAACACGTGGTGTGGTTTTTGAATGATTCACATTCTCAATTAAAAGAAGAAAAAAAACTCTGGTTTGGTGACGAAAAAATGATCGTACAATTAAATATTAATGAAAATTTTGAATTTTGATTGGTGAGTTTCAATGAAATTTCTCATCATTCTTATAAAATTCACTTCATTGTGAATTTGATTTATGATACTTTGGGTACTTCCACTTCTAGAATGCTCTTTATTACCATCATTATCAAGAAATTTGCATTGCAAAATAAGCTTTCACCGTCTTTCTTATCATTTCTCAGCACTTAGCCTTTGCCACTGTAGCAAAAAGCCACACAAACACACAAACTTTGATCTATTATAAAATATTTAATGTATTTTTTAAATAAAAAAATTTATGTACCGAAAAAAGGTGAAATAAAATTGAGCTAAAGTAATATAATTATGTAAAGAGGAAAAGCTACTCAATATTATTTCCTGTTTCAGTTTCAGACTGTATTGTTCTTAAACTGACCACAAAACCAAAGGAAGGGGTTAAAGGACTTGATGAGGTGAGAAGAACGCATTTTTTTGCAATACATACGTCATTGGAAAATTCAAAATTCCAAAACACGTCCAAAGCACTGATAAGAAATCATCAAGATGAGTAATTCAATTAATTTTAATGTTCAAAAGGCATTTTTTTGCCATAAGAATTGGAGTACATTTTATAAAGGAAATAACAAATTCAAAATAATTGAAAAATTTAATCCCAGCAGTATTTCTTGAAGTATCTTGAAAGTCACCTTGGAGCTTTTCTTTTCAACTGCTCCGTCGAATGTAAATCAACCCGACTCTTGTGCATTCTTAAGTCATCTCGCGTCACCGCCGCGGGTGCACCGTCGCTGCTCTTTTTTATTTTTAGCATTTAGCAGAGCGCAAGAGGAGGAGGAAAACCTTTGTCTCGCTTCAATTAATCTTCTCTGGGCTGCGCCTCGCCATGTGAATAAAGATATCGATTGCGAGCACCACTCGCTCCACCCTCAACCCTTTATGTGCCCCACAAATGATTGTTGCTGCAGACGACCCTCCAGGGAAATGGATTAGTGCGCAGCGAATAAAGGCGGGATTCAAGATTGACCTTTGACAACTAATTGGAGCGAGTCGAAAAAAGGTCAATGTAAAATTTAGAAATGCAAATATCAAAGTACTTTTGGTACTTTATTTAATAATTTATGGAATAAAAGTAAAAAATTCTACTAAATTTCAAGTTTTTAGTTGCAAAATTGCAATAATTTTTTAATTACAATGATTATTTTTAATATTTATTTTGCTTTCCATTTTATTTCGCAACATCTTATAAAAATAAATAAAGTTACGTAACTTTGTGTGTCTGGGACTGGTCTATCGTTGACAAGCTCAGCCAGTGAGTGGGCGACAAAAAAAGTCGCCGCTCAAAATCTCGTTCACTCGAGCGCCGAAGACTTAAAGGACGAAAAAGGGACCCACGTGTGACCCCGCACGCACCGCCACGGAACCTTTATAGATTTTCACGGTGGCAGCAGCAGGAAGTTCTAGAATAAACATAAGTACAACACAACCAAATTTGATAAGGTCCCCGAGACGAGTGGAGCTTCGAGCCAAGGTAAAACACACGCCGCTCTCGAAATAAATTTATGGTCGCAGCCTAATTGTGAAAATGGGGAAACGAAGTTGTTTTAACGAGCGAAATTCGCGAAACAGAATTAACATTCGCTGAAGACGAGCGAGACGAGATGGCACTGCAATTATTGGCAAGGAGAAGCTCAAACGCTTGCAGAAAATTGCTTAATTAGACTCTCAATTAGATTTGCATTGGAAATAAAGCAAAGGGAAGGGGCTTGATAAGTCAATAACCCATTCTGTATTAATTTATTTCAATTAAATAAACAATTCATTAGGTGGATTCAGAAACTAATTAAGCGGAAAACGAATTTAAAAGTCTAAATTTCAACTTTTCATCAAAAATCTCTATTAAAAAGAGGGACAAAAATAGAAACTTAAGAAGCAAAACCACACAAATCTACACAAAAAATTACAAAAACGCTCCAAGTAACTAATTAACAAAAAATTATTTTAATTCATATTCTAGGATTATTTATTTGCGAGTTGTTTGCAAAAATTGAAAAAAATTCAAATATCGATTTGCATTCATTTATTATTTTTTTAAAAACACTTTTAAACTCTCAACTCTTTTAAAAACTTTTTCTAATAAATGCAAATTTTTAACCAAATTCATTCTTATTTCAAACAGAATTTACGTTTTTGATAGAATAATAATGAAAAATAAAAGAAATTTTTATTTTTCACCCGATAATGTCGATTGTGCGTTTAAAATAGATTAGTTCCACGAGTGCATTACGCCTTTCTTTGATCAGCACACGGATAATTTATTCACGCAAATGTCACGAACTGGCAGCAGCATTCGTCAAAAAGATCGAGCCAAGAGATGTGGAGCGATTAATCTACGTGTCTGTCTGCCGCTTATTCGACATCGCGTTGGTAAAATTCATTGCTTTAATGCACACCTCAGCAGCGCAAAGATCATTTCACAATAATTCAACTCGCGCAGAACTGTCATGTTCTCTCGTCTGGAGTAAAAAATTATAAAAGTCGCCGTCGCAAAAGCTGGCAGATAGAAATTATTATTACAGGTGTCTTTTGCAAAGAGCAGGATGAATAATTTTTAACGCTACAAAACAAGAACTCATTAAAAGAAGTAAAATACATGCAAATTTTTGTGCAAATACAAAAAATTGTTTAAATTGAGTTTTGATCAAATAAATTTTTAAACTTTTTTTATTATTATTAATAAATCAAACTGATTTATAACT